ATGAATTAATAAAAATTGATTAAAAAATGAATTATTTTGAAAGTGACGATAAATACTTTTATTTAACTAATAATAATAACGAATGTACTGTAGAAGTAGATTATAATCCATCCATATTTTTTAAACAACCACAAGAGTGTGCTTTAGCTGAGCTAATTATTCCTAAAAGGCTTGATTTAAAAGAACCTTTAGAAAATTTAGTTCTTACTTATAATTTCAAATGGGTACCAGAATCATTTTATGGTGACATAAAAAATGATATTGTTGAGCACGATAAACATAGATTAAGCAATATTACAAAATTTGTTGTGCAGTTTGATTCAAATTATTCATTAGGAGAAAATATAACTGAAAATTACGAAATATTACATAACAAAGATATTCATTGGAAAGACCATATAAAAGAAATTATAACTAAAATTAATGGAAACATTGAAAATACTATTAAAAAAAGATATCCAAAAACATTCAAAATGCCTTCAACAAAGGTAATTGGTAATTATGGAGAATACAGTTCTGGTTTAGAATGGAGAATTAATAATATTGTATTTGATTTTGATAGTACAAAAAATATCTATAAAATTAAAAATGGAAATTTTTATATGCCAACAAAATTTTGGTATAATTTAGATGATGATGATGTTTTAATAAGTAAAGAAGAATATGAAAAAATAAAACCAACAAATAAAAAAGCAATACCTGACAATGAAAAGAAAGTAGAATATTATTTGTTAAGAGGTGTTTTTTATATTGATTTTAACGAAAATTTAAAAAAACTATTAGGTTTGAAAAATTATAATATAAATAATTTATTTGATAATTTTTCCTTATATAAAATAATAAACAATGAAAAAATTAATTTAACATATCAAAATTCTGACATTCCTAACGCTTTAAAAACATCTATTAAAAATATAGAAGAAATTAAAAGTGATGTTCGTCCATTAAGTGTCTCGAGAAATATAAATTATTTAATTGTTTATTGTAATATAATTATTGAATCTAATTATCAAAATAAAAAATCTAATATATTAAGAATTATCCCTACAAATATTTCGGAAAAAGATGATGTTATAAAAATTGATTTCAACGTTAAAAATTTTATACCATTAAAATACAATGAATTTAATACAATCACTTTGCGTATCACTGATGAAGAAAACAACAATCTTATTTTTAGAAAAGGAAAATTATTTGCTACGCTTATAATAAGACCTCAGTACAAAATATAACTTAGTTGTATTTTTATTAGCAACATGTGTACATCTTATCAGAATGGATTATAATTCATATTATTGTGCACAAGCAAAAAATAATCAAAAAGGTGAAGGAATACCAATTCAAGGTATAAATCAAATTGAACCTAATAATATTGATTTTTTGCCACATAAATCAAAATCTGTAAAAACTAAAATTTATAAAAACAAAGTTTCTGGTTTAAGAAGAAAACCCAGAACTAATAAAAAAAATAAAAAACGATTTATTAGAAAATCAAAAAAAGGTAAAAATAAACAAAAACGTAATTTGGATATATTTGCTTAAATATGGCAACTGAAATTTTAAAAGATGAATTAGATTTATTTGAAAAAGTAAAATATCAAGGAACAATTGAAAGTCAACAAATACTTGAATATCGACCTAAATCAAATGTAATAGATTCAAACACAATTGATTTTGAAATTCAAGCATCAGCTGATGAGTATATTGATATGCGAAATATTTATTTATATTTGACTTGTAAATTAACAAACAGAGACGGAACAAATTTTGCAGCAGCAATTAATAATTTTGCGCCGACTAATTACGTTTTAAACACAGCATTTGATCAATTAGCTATTTATCTCGGATCAACATTAGTGAGTCAAGCTGCTCAAAATTATAATTATATGTCATTTATTGAAGCGGTTACTGAGCAATCAAATTATTCTAACTCAACTGTTGCATCATCTGGCTTTGTTACAACTTTTTGGACACCAGCATATAATTATGAAAATCCAAATGAACACTTAGCAACTTTATGTAATGCTAGTAAAGTAATGCAATTTTACGGAAAATTACATGGGCCAATATTTACAACAAATAAATTATTAATTAGTGGTGTACCAATTAAATTAGAATTTACTAAAGCAAATGAAAGATGGCCAACAGTTTCTGAAACAGCAGCAATGACAGCAGATCAATATCCTTTGTTAAAAATTACAGATATGAGTGTTTTTGCTCGAAAAGTTAAAGTAACACCAAATTTACTTAATGCACACGCACAAGCATTAAGAATTTCTAATGCATTATATACAGTTAAACGACCTAATATTAAAGTAATTAATTTAACTCAAGGACAATCAACTTTTAATATAGATAATTTATATCTAGGTCAATTACCTAGTAAAATTATTTTAGGTATGGTTGACGATGCAGCTTACAGAGGAAATAGTTATCGAGATCCTTTAAGATTTCAAAATTTTAATTTAAATAGTTTAAGTTTAAATGTCAATGGAGATATGATACCTAAAGTACCGTATCAACCTAACTATACAACAGATTTATTTGCTAGAGAATACCACGATTTATTATTGAATTTAGGATATAATTACGTTAATAACCCATCTCCAATTGACGTTAAAAATTATAAAAATGGATTATGTTTATATGCTTTTAATTTAAATAATGATTTTAGTTTTACTAACAAATATATAAATTTACCTAAAAGTGGATATATTAATGTGCATTTAAAATTTTCAGAAAATTTAGCAAATGCTATAAAGTTAATTTGTTATGCTGTATTTGATAATACTATAGAAATTGATGAAAATAGAAATGTAACTACTGATTACTAAACATGAATTCTATTCAAATATTAAGTTTTATTAAAAGAGATAAAATAGCAAAAAAACAATTTTGTGGTGTTTTAGCTTTAAATCAGATAAGTTATATAAAAACTATTAAACCGTGTGCATTGATTGTTAACACACATAAATCATCACAACCTGGAGAACACTGGTTTGCTATATATGTTCCACTTACTGGACCAATTGAATATTTTGATTCATTTGGAAGAAAACCTTATCACCCAGAAATATATTCCTTTATTAAATTAAATGGTAAAAAATATATATTTAATCAAATACCATTACAACATTATTTGTCAACTACTTGTGGTTATTATTCTATATTTTATATATTACTGCGAACAAGAAATTATAGTCTTAAAAGAATATTAAACTTTTTTTTACGTAATAGATTATTGAATGATAAAATAATTATTAAAATAATTAATAAATTAAAAAAAACATGAAATCGGTTAGATTCTGTGATAATGTACAAGTAAAAATAATGTATGTTTGGCCATATGCTTCTAAACAAGCAAGAATTTCTAATTGGCATTGGATAGTATGGGATAGACGTATTCATGAAATAAAATGTAAACTTATTGGAGAAAATATATCTTATGTTTTAGAAAAAGAATTTCGAGAAAAAATTTTTAATGAACGTTTTACTAAATAATGTTATTTTTTATTCATGTAAAATATTATTAAGAAATAAAAATTTTTTGTTTTAATACAATAATTGCATTACAAATTGGACAATTAGTTAATTTCATTGAACATGTATAACAAGTTAATAAATGAGAACATGGAAAAAATACAATATCAAATTCATTTATATAACATATTTTACATAACATGTTATTTTCTATCTTATTATTCATTATTACATTAGTTATATCAAAACATTTTATTTTATCATTATTTAGTCTTTCATTATGAATTTTAGTACATTCTTCTATGAAAACTAAGCTTTTATTTTCACGCAAAAATGCACAATGTGGATAATATTTCGCATGTTCAATCCATGGATCATCACCAGGTAACCATAGACATAGTCCACCTTTGCATTCATAACATTTCAAAAAATCTTGTAATCCAATTGAGTAAAATCCTGCTTCAGCAAATTGTTGATAATTATTTACTGTAATCCTTTCTGTCCATTGAAAATTTTTATATGACTCTAGTCTTTTATTTAAGTCACTGTAATTTATATCATCCATTTCACTTGTTCACTACTTTTACATAAAGACTATTATGACTTGAAAATTTTTATTATTAATTATCACACAATATTGAAATCTAATTTAATTAATTTTTTATTTTAATTTTATATCTATTTTAATAAATATTTTTAGACGATTATTGAACAAATAAATATGTTTTTAAGAAAAATTGCTTTGTCTAATAATATATCTAAATAAGTAAAAATAACAATTATATTAAATATACACATATAATGTTTATATATATTTAGGAGTACATAGAAATAGATTGTAGTAATAAAATTATTTTTAGTCAATTATTTTTTAAAATATTTTTTTTCTATAAACAATAGGCTACTATTTATATTTATTTTTTGATAGCAATAAAAATAAATATGTGTTAAATCACTGTTGAATAAAATCATTGCTATTGTTTCATACAATATTTATAATATTGTTAAAAAAAAGTTTTATGTTTTTTATTTCCATGTATTTTAGTTCAATGATCTAATATTAATAAATTTATTTTATTTGTTTACTAACATTTAATATAAATATTTTTCTCTATAGTTATAATGCATAAAATAAATAATTTTTATATAATAATTGAGTAAATATTAATATATTTTCTATAAAAAAAATATAATATTCATGACTGAGTAAACTATTTTATTTTAAAAATTGACTCTTTATTTACTAATTACAAAAGTTATAAAATATTAATACAGTTAATCAAATTGTTTGACTAAAATATATTGTAATAATATACCTTTTAATAATATAATAATTTTAAATAAATAGTATTTTTATTCAAATTCAAAATTATAAAAAAATATATAAAAACTTATTTATATATATATATACTACAATATTACTATGATTATTAAACAAATTACTTATATATATATWTATATATATATATATATATATATGTTATTTATAAAAATAGTTATATATTTTATACAATTATTTTTCACTTTTTCAAACATTTTAAACTAATGCCGTTTTTAGTTTTCAGATCTATAGCACAAAAATACAAATAAAAAATTAATAATAATTAAAAAAAGATATTTAAATTGAATACATTTACCTATACAAACATGTTTCCTATTACTAAAACTATTAGCTTGCTCAATTGTTTTTGTCTTACATCTAACAGTTGCTATATTATTGATTTTTCTGGGCGCCGGCACCGGCTTATCAACTGGCGATTCAATGCTATCATCAATATTCCTGTTATAACAGTTGTCTACAGCTGTTTCTGCACTGTTGTCGGTACTGTTAGTTGTAAACTTCAGTAGTTTTGGAAACAGACTAATAGAGCCATAAGCTCGACAACGATGTTCAAGACTATAAACAGTGGGCACCCATAAGGGTTTGTTGGCACTGGTAGATAGGGTAGACTCATCATCAACATTAATGCCTATCTGACGCAAATTATCTCCAAATTGCGATAACTTATTGGACATGACTAATCTAATTTGTTGATCCAGATAGTCAACTAAATCGGTATCTCTACTAAACCTAACCCACGATTTAACTAAATCACGCAATTGTCTACTGTAGTCGACACCGAGTGACTCGACTAACGTATCGGTCAGTTTGTCAAACAGTTGTTCTTCCTGATCAGCCAACTGTCCGTGAATTTGCCGTTTAACGCGCATTACTTCGGCAATGTTGACCTCGTACTCACTGTGCACACCGTTATCGCGTAACGTATTATTGAACAGTTCATTGACTTTTGATTCGGTATTAATAGGATAAGCAAATTTCGGGCGCATTTCACCCAACAATTGCCGCACGCGACCACTATCCACGTGTATAGTTTGTTTGGCCAGTTCACGTTCCCGGTACACGCTTTTCAATATTAATGATACGGCACTAAGTTTTAGGAGTTCCCCGAGTCTCCGGTATATTGGAAAATGTTTTCCGATTTCATTGTAATGTTTGCTAAATTGTTTGGCATACTGTTCCTCATGAGTTATTTGGTTATTATTATTATTATTATTATTAGCATCATTATATTGGCTATTATGGGCATCGGAACATGCGTGTACGTGCATAGAGCACGTGCCAAACTTCACAATACGTTTATTATTATTATTTTCAATTAGTTCGTCATAATACAGATGACCAGGTTCAATCATAAAACTATAATTATGGTCATAGCTATTAGTTGTATCATGTACAATTTGAAGTTTTTCGCGCAACTGTTTGGGCAATACTGTCGAAGGTATAGATCGGACGTCAAACGGTTTACGGGTAGATATTTCAGTGTCAATGACTAACATATGTAACAAATTTATGGCATCAAACAATGAGTGCATATAATTTGAATTATACATTGAGTTTGGATTACATTTGATTTGATTAAATGGCAGATAAGCTAACTGAACACCATTACTATCATTATTAGACGATTCAATTATTGATAATGTACCATGATCAATACAGTTACCTAGTATTTCATCAATGTCATTTAAATCAATAACTGAATCCGTTTGATTTGAATCCATAGTTATAAGTATATGAAATGTATTGTTTTCCAAATCAATAACCAAACCATCAACACTTGTAAATCTGATCGCATCCGATAGTTTCAATTGTCTATTATCCAGATCTAACCATCCCCCATTTTGATCCAGATGAATTTGACCATTTGTCACATTATGTTCAATTTGGTTTATGTCCATTTTATGGACAGTCAATAATGATTTTATATAATTTTCACGATATAATGGGAACATTTTAGGTGAATACCAATATTTCCAGCTGCCATCCATTAGGTAGGCCTGGTAGTTTATAAAATTTTCATTTTTTAATTTCATCTGGGTCAAATAGAATTTTTCCAAAATTTCCATTCCCACCATATTATTGACATATAAACTGTCAATAGTATAGTTTAAAGTAATATTAATTAGCGGTGCATATGATATATTTTGTTTCAACATGTGTTTGATAATTGAAAATAAATTTTGTTTATACGTATTGATTATTGATAGTTGTGTTGATTGTGATGGTTGTAATGACTCAGTTGTTTGATCAGTACTATTGTTAACACTGTTAGCTTTGTAGGTAGTGGTGATAGTTTTAACAGATGGAATTAGTTTTGATAAAATAGCCAGTGCACGATACATAATAATTGTGCATAGTAGACAAGTGTTTGTAATGGTGTTTGGATCTAGATAACTATTTGCTACATAAATAATAGTGCCCACAATATCACAGATACAGTTAGTCCAGGCATATAACTGTGCTTGATAACTTTGCTCATCATCATTATCGTTATCATCACTATTGCAATCAAGCATAGCCTGTAGTATATAATAGATTGCCATTAATAAATTATTAACTATTACACTACCTGGACATGATTGTCCATTGCATATATCAATATAGTTGAATGCATTATCCAAATATGACATATTTTGTTTAGTATTAATTAGTTGTATTTCGCATTTGATTAATTTGTTCCAGGTGCCCGCCAATGAAACACAGTTACCATCATCAACATTATTGATAACACAACTGTCCACTGATTGCAGGTATTCACAAAATGTTGGCATGGTCAATTCGGTTATTCTAATATTTTCTAATATGTTTTTGACCTGGGTCATCTGATGTTGACTAGTAATCAATTGAGTCAATGCATCCAAACAATCGCCAAACGGATAGACAAGTGCACACTCTCTAATTGATTCATATGAGTTCAGATAATCCCTTTCAAATAACAGTGCCGATGATTTGAGCACAAGTAGCATACCTTTTACATGCACCGGTAGATCAACAAATCGACGGCCATTTGACAGTTCCATATATAGTCCATTGATTGCTTTCGTACACCGATATCTCAATATATAATCAACTGAATCACGAAAACGAAACTCATAGACCAACTCTCTGAGCTCATCATAGTTTCTATCGTCACACTTTGCATTCACCTCTTCATATAAATCATGTTGTTTAACCTTGACAATTTGTTCAAGGTCACTGTTACCGGCCAACTGGGATCGGGCTTCGATATACAGTTCCCTATTAGCTAACTGATCGAACATTAACTGCTGAATTTCAAGCTCATCCATATAATAACTGGCCGCACAAACAGTGGCTTCAAATACATCATCATAACTATATTCAACATTATTATTATTATTATTATTTACTGCACTGGTATTGTTTATGGTATAGTCGTTGTTATTATTTCCAGTATTATTATTATTATTATTACAATTATTATTTAATGTATCAAGTGCAATTTTCAAAATCATAAACACTGCTTCGGGACAGTACTTATAAACGTTTAATATATAACGTGAATAGAGTAGACAAGCTGGGTACTTTTTGAAATGAAATAAAATTTGTGCACGCTCCATAATGACGGTGTTTGTTGTACCCGATTTTACATAACATGCCAGTGCCAGCTCATAACGACCCTGATCAAAATAACGATCGCCATAGGGTTCCCAATTGCGAACATAAAGCCGGATGTCTAGTAAAATATGTCTTGTATTGGACAGTGTATGCATATTCCATACTTTTTGAGGCATTAATTTTTTTAGTTGATCATTCAATGTATCATGCTTGTTTTTAGCCAAAAAATTACTATATATTGTTGTGTCCAGATTATCTGATATGTGATTATTTGTTAATGTTAAATTATTAACTATTTCACTTGACCATTGTTTTAATTCCGTATCAATAATATCTATATTATTAATAATGTTACTATCACATTTAATAAACTCATTGATCCATTGGTCAATTTTATCTTGATAATATTGTGATGATAATGATAATTTTGTTGTTGTTATTGTAGTACTTTTATTATCTTGATCATTTTTTATTGAGCCAAAATATTTACGGTTATAATTATTTAATTTATCATTATTATTGCTTGTATTATCACATTGTTTATTAATTATATCCAATTTTGTTTGGCTAAATAATTTAATTAGTTCATCAAAATAATTGTCATTACATTTGCTTATTAGAAAATGTTTTGATTGATGACATAGTAATTGTAAAAACTGTTTTGAATTAAAATTATCGATGATTTTGTTGTTTTCAACTTTAATTTGAGACATTTTTTGTTTTAATTGTCTTGAAAACTATAAAAAATATTAATATTAATTACATACTAATTTTTATATAAATTATAAATATAAATATATAATAAACTCTATACACTATACTGTATTTTACATTTATTAATATTTTCAATCTATCGTTTTGAAGTAAAATTGAAATATACAATACATATGAGTCATGGCATGAATTTTTATGGAAATAAATATTATTTTCACAAACAAAATATTAATTGATAAGATAAATATTAATAAAAAATATGTAAGAAATAGTATTAAAGATAAAATAATAATAATAATTTTGCTTATAATTGTTAGTATAATTATTACAATTACAATTATAAATGTGCAATAATAATAATTGCTATTATTATTATTTTTATTATTATTACTAAAGTAATACTATAAAATGTATTATTTAATTATTTCCAATTAATTTAATTTTATAAATTGATTATTTAACTTACATATTTATTTATATTTGAACATATTATAAATTTTATAGCAAATTGTTAGTAAAATTTTACTAAAAATTATTCGATGATTAGAGTGACTCTTACTTTTAGTTTAATTTTTATTATTAATATATAATAATCATATATTACTAAATAATTGCGTTAAATAAAACCTGAAATTATTAAATAATATAAATTTGATTAAATTGATCATAAATAATACTATTTAGAACTTTAACACACATTTTGTTTAAATCACATTAAATCACATTTTATTATTATTATTATTATATATTGTTATTGTTATAATCAATGTCATTCATATACTCCCCAAATGTTTAAATAAAAATAATATCATTTCTATAGTAACATTAGATAATTTCATTTGTTATGAGTTGTATGTTTTCATTGTAATATAATATAAATTATTGTGTATATTGTAATACCTATACACATGTATATATCTAATAAAAATTTTGATTTTTATGATGTATTTATAGTTTCATTTACTCGTGTAATGTTAATAATAATGATTTCATGTAAAGTTAGAAATTTATAAATAGATATTTCTAATAAATTTTCTTAAAAACATTTTTTTAAATCTCAAAAATATTTTTATATAAAACTATCTTATTATTATAATATGGAGTCTTCACATGAATTTCAAATAAATTCTAATATATTAATTCAAATTCTAATAATTTAGAAAATATAAATATATTGAAAAATATAAATATTTGTTAATTTAAAAAATAAACTAAAATACTATTCTTAATATTTTATTATTATAATTATTAATTTTATTTTATTAAAATTAAATATGTTAAAAATTAAAATTGACAGAGATATCATAAAAACATTTACTCAAAAATTTTCTAGAAATTTTTATATTATTTTTATAAAGTTTTATTTTGACCAACTCTATGTACAGTATTATACAATAATATTTTATTACTATTATATAAAAACTAATCATTTACATAGTTTGTAAGTAATATAAGATTAGTAATTTAATATATTAAAATTGCAATAGGTTTTTATCATAATTTATTGGTAAAGTGATATAAATTTACAACTTTTGTATTAATTTTGTGTGTAGTATAGTATTATTAAAATAATAATTATTATTGTTTAGAACTATATTATTAATAATATAAGTATTAATAACAATTTATTAAATTTCTTTAATTAAAAATTTTATATAATTGATAACTATTATAAAAATAATTAAAAAAATCTGTAAATTTATATTAAAATATCTCAAAAAGATAATAAATATATATATAATATCTATAGATTATAAATATATTAAAATAATTTCTTTGATTCTATGAAATAATACAATAAATTTAAACCGGATTACTATAATAATTATAAAATTTAATATTATTTATACTTTATGTAATGAATTTGCAAATAATAATAATTAGTCAAAATTTCAATAGATTAACATATCTAGCTTTAGATTAAAACTTTTAATATTTTTTTTACTAATAGTGAGAATTATTTTGATTATTAAATTATATTATACAATACAATATTATTATTTATTAGCAGTTAGTATACATATTGAGAGAGATTATGAATTTATGATTAAATCTTTAATTGATTTATATTTTTAGACATTTTTTGTCAATTTATGAGATACTGTTTTTAAAGCTTTAGTAAAAGTCAATCGATAGTCATTTTTAGTCTAAATACATGCTATAATCAAATGTAAATTTTTATATAAATAGTTGTAAATATTGATAATAAAATACTGTATTATTATTAATGTAAAAGTGTTGTTAACGATTGTTTGCATATTAAGTCAATACCTGACATACAGTTCATGATCCCTGTGTACCAAAGCCTACCGTAGCAACAGTTACGCCAAAAAACAAAAATTCATTACATTTACAATTAATGATAGTTTACATTAAATTTGTAAAATATATTTGAAATTTTCTATTTAACTAATGAGATAAAAATTACTGTTTTAGTTTACTCTAAAAATTTTTTTAAAATATAAATACAAGCAGTTACTATATGTATCATTAAAAACTAAATAAAAGTAGTAAGCTGTACTATTAAACATTATTTATACTAAACAAAAAGTTACTTAAAACTATAATATTAAAAATTAATTAAATACCATGTATTGTAAAACTTTGATTGTTACATTGGCTTTATTTAGCATGGTCTATTGTGTGCCAACGCATTTAAATCGTGAAACCGCTAGTCATAACATAACTGTGCCAATTTACAATGGTCAGATAAGCGATGCCGTATGTAATCATTAAAATTAATAGTTTAATCTATTTATAAGTTAGCTAATAATAATAATAATAATTTATTTTTATTAATCAAACATTACTGTAAATAATTTTTTTTATTAAAAATAAATGATGATAAATAAAATTATTATATTAGATACTTAGAATATTATTTTTGTCATATTTTATTTAAAACTATTAATTTTTTTATTTAAAGTATTTTTATTTATTTTTATCTAATACAAAAAGCTGAAAACTAAATTATTTAAAAAAAAATATTTAAATTATCAATTTTAATTTTGTTTATTCTAAAACAACCAGGGTCGCCACATTCTGGACAAAATCATTGTAGCCAGGTCATACAACTATAAACTGGGACTCTATCAGAACGTAGATCTGAAAACTGTTCACCGAAACGCCAGTGTCATTGTGTCGGCATTCATGGACTCCACTGTCGGCTTCTCAGGTCAGCCGTGTTTGTCCGTCAACGAGAAGGACATGTGGCGACACATGAATAACAATTGCTATGCAGTTATTGGAGAAAAAGTGTTGCAAACAATTAATGGTGACTACGATATAGTGGTGGGTGAGAGAGCCTATTTGAATGTAGATTTTTTCAAAAACTCGCAAAAAATGTATGAATTTTATCTAGGACCATTGTATTTTGGTGTTTATCAGGCTAGTTTTTGAAAATACAATATTAAATTAGCTGTCACAGCTGTTACACTAAATAATAACTGTTTATTTAATTAACAATCATGTACCAATTAAATTAAATTTCATATATTGTTTTTATTAAAGAAATAAAATTATTTATTATTATAATAATTAAAACATTAATTAATCTATTATTTTATAAATTAGACAATTATATTAAGTAAAAGTTATTACTAACTATACAGAAACAATGCTACAAATAATTTACGAAAAAAATATTAAATTTATTTTAGAAACATGAAGAATATATTGAGTTAAATAATAATTATTAGATATATCTAGAATTAAACAATATTTTTTAAAAAAAATTGAAAAAATAAATAATTTAATTAATAATGCATTTAATTACACATTAGAGTTAGGTTTAGCTTTTTGATTAAGTAGCACATGTAACAAAATAAATGCTACCAGGCCACTTGTACCCAGAATCAAGTTCATTGATGGTAAGGCTACGGGCCAGTGGTGAACAAATTGACCGCAAATTACCGGGAAAATTGCCGAACACAGTCCAGTCACGCATACAACCGTTCCGGTCACTCTATTGCTCAGTTTGATATGGGATGAGACAAACGTCATGGCACAGGAATACAATGTGGAATGGCCTATACCCAGAAATATATAACCCAACCAAATTGCCCAGGTATTCAATTGGTAATGGATAAACAATATCAGGACAATGTTGCCGGAAAGTAACATAAACCAATTGATGTAAATCAAATTTTTCATGTAGCACCAGTATTTTAGTGCCAATAGTGTATAGACTGTAACATATATGAGCATTGTTACGGACAGTATGGTTTGCATGGTGTCTGCCTTTTCCGGTGCCATATTCAGGTGCGAGTACTCCATAAATGTGGGCAACAGGTTAAAGGTTGTAAAGTTTAAACCTGATTGAGTAAAATAATTAATTATTAATTATAGCAATTAATAGACTAATATAATAAAATTCTAAATAGTTTTTTAAATTAATATTTTAAAATAATTCAAAAATTTATAAATTACTTTAGAAAGAATAACATTTCTAATTGAAGAAAGTATAGTAAATATCATAAATAAACAAATACTAGACAAACAATAATGTTATATATTATCTATAATATAATTATTTTTATAATATTAATGTATACCATACCTACAATTATACCTACGATGAGCACAAATAAAAACATATTGACAACTTTTTTAAATGTGATTGGTGGTTTTTGTTTATTTTGTAATGATAATGTTGATGATGTTGTAGATACTGATGACTCTACTCCCGGAGCTGATGACCCTGATGTTTGTAATGATGCTAATGATATTGATTTTGATGGTGGTACATAGCGTTTATAAATATGTATACATAATAAAATAATTGCAAAAATTAGAAACAGTGCGCCCACAATGATAAATGGTATGCCAATATTGCCGTGTATTTCCCGATAACTTTCCGGTTCATTATTACCGGTCAAGTTGGCCACTATTGGCTCGTATCGAGTTACAAACGGTTGGGCCATCAATGGTCCTATGAGTACACTAAATGTATAAAATAGTTGATAACCGGTCATATAAATGGCAGATTTGTCGGCCCACATCTCAATGATCCATACGACTAGTCCAGTGTCTAAACCTTAATAATAATAATAATAGTAATAATTAATACAAGAAAACTATCTATAGTTTATAATAATGTAAATACAGTATTTAAAAACATAAATGCAAATTATAAATGCTGTGACATACCTCCACATCCGTAGCCAATAATAAATGCCAAAACAAATAAAACAACAATAGTTGGACTGTATGGTAAGGCCGCTAAAAAAGCGGCCAGTGCAACCAGTATGACCACTATTGCCAGATGTCGATTCACATAATTAAATATAAAACCATCTAATTTATAAATAAACAATAATAGATTTAATAAACATTTTATATATATTATATAATAGTTAAATCTTACTTAATAGGCCGCCAACAAAATAGCCAAAATTAAAACACGTAAATATAAAAGTTATTTTATTGGTAGTTGTGTCAAATTGTTTGGTCAAATCATGTAAAACCGGACCAATAATGTTAAGGATTAAACCCTTTTTATATAAAAAAATTATATTTATAGTTTAATATTAATATATTTATGCAATTATTATGAGAAAGTTTTGATTAAAACTTTGTTGATAATTAAGATTATAAATATATAGGTTATTAAAAAAATAAATATACTTACATATAATATTGTAATAACATACAGTGTCCATGTTATCAATTGCTTATGAAAAAATGTTAATTTTGGTGAAATATTATTATTATTATTGACATCCATGTCATATATATGATAATTATTACAATAAAATAAATTATCGGTTTAATAATTATAAAAACAAAATATTAAGTTATCTATTTTTTATTTTATTAGTTAAAAATATTAAAATAATATTTCAAGAATTAGTTGATAAAAATAAAAGTTTATTAATGATATTTAGAAAATGTTTTTAATTTTATTTTTATTTTAAAAAATAAAAAATAACTATTATATTCAATATTCAACAAAATCTAAAACCAGTATTATAAACGTGGAGAAAAAAATTAATTTTAAAAAACAAATTACTTTACAATATTAATAAAAATTAAAAACAGAATCTAAAAGTCGAACTAAAGTATTTAAACTTAACATTTTAAAAATAATAATTTTATTAAAAATATTATATAAACTTTATATTAAATCTAGCACTTATTAGTATAAATTTATATTTATAATAACTATTAGTTATACAGTATCTTTATATATAAATATAAAAAAAAGTTATACAATATAGAAATTTCTGATATGTTTAACTGCGTGTATACATGAGTTTGTAAATTGGGAAAAATTACGTAAAAATAGATGGATTGCATAAAATTAAATAAAGTGATAATTTATTTTCTGGAATTATTAAAATGATTTACAATATATTTATTATTACTGTAATGTTTTCATTCACGTGTTTTGTATTATTATAAATGTGTTTGATGTCATTAAAACTCTATTTTTTATTTATTTTATTATTAAAATTTTATATCATATTTATTATGGTATTACTAATAAAAAATAGCATTTTTAAAAAAGGTTTATATAGTTATATTAAAAATGTCATTATTAATTTTTATATATTGTAATTACATTCAAATTTTTATTACATTACATTAATATTATTTATAAAATATTATAAAATGAAATTGAAATTAGGTCAAAATAATTACATACTATACAATCTTTTAAACATTATTTTAATAATATAATATAAAATGTTATTGAAAATAAATGTTGTTTATTATTTATTCATAATTTTAAATAGTAATTAAAGTATGCATAGGTTTTTGCAATATGACATGACATGACATAACAATATTGTATTTATTAAAAACTAATAACAACACGTTTTATTATTATTATTAATAATATTATTGAGTTTTTAAAAAATAATACTTTAAGTTAAAATATGTAATATTAGAGAATATTCCTACATGTCTTTAATAAATTTAATCATGATTTCAATGCAGTCAAACATATATTTTAATAATTGTATATTAAAACCATTATATTGTATAAATTATTTGAATTATGGAGTAATCCAACTAAAGAACATTAAGTAATTTTTTTATTATACAACCCTATGTTAATAAAATTTTATTAATTCAAATTTATAATGCTATGTAATCTTATAAATAATTAATTAATTAAATAATAAGACTAAGAAAATAAATGATATAGTTTTTCTATTAAATATCATGTAATTTGATTACTTTAATATGTAATTTACAATAATTGTTGCAATCATTTAACAATTATATTATTAAAAAGTGTAGAGCAATACAAAATAAAATACTTTTAATTAATCACATAGAAAATTTTAAAAAAATATATTTTTAAAGTATTAATAAGTATATTTTAACATAAGTATTTTCTTTAGTTGTGCTATACATTTAAAATTACAAAACAAATGTCTAATAAACAACCAAATTTTATAATAAAATAATAAATAAAAATAAATATATTAATATTTATTAATAAAATAACAGTTTAAAATAACTACCATTAGATTGCAATAGTTTTCAATTATAATAGTTAAACTTAAACTAATAATATTAGATATTTTAATATTAAAATATAAATGAGTATTCTAATATAATAATTTTTTGTCTTAATTACTAATTGTCTTACACATGATATATTTAATTTTATATTTAACAATTTGCTAGAATTTAATTTATTATTATAATAAAATAAATAGAGTTAATATTTTAATAAATATTAATAAAATTTAATTTATCTTTAATTTGTTAGCTCATAAAATCTATAAATAATTTATTATATTATCAAAAGAAATTATACAGTATTTTAAAGTTTAATATAACAATTTTGATACAAATTGTAAAATTTACGAATTTATTTTAATTTTTTTCAATAATTAAGTTTAGTAAATCTAAATATAATAATTGTTTAGTAATTATGGAGCAAATTATTGATAATTATTTATCATAAACTCGTTGAACTATCAACTATTATTTCCAATAAATGATATAAAAAACTAAATAATAATTATTATTAAAACTAACAATAAATTCAACATAACAACATTTATCTTTTACATAAATAGATAACCTTGAATAATGTTTGTCCATTATGTATATAAACTAGATATATTATAATTTATTTTTATAATTAATTTTTTTTCAGTATATTAAATATTTATATTTAACAATTATTAACTATTATAATAATGAAATACATTATTAGTCTAATAGTTGTAATATTTATTACACTAAGTAAGTATTATTTGTAATGTATAAATACATATATTTATTAATAATTGAATTATGTATTATATTTGTTGTTAATAATATTATAAAGATAATGTCAATTGTGACGTCGATCCGGTAAAATTGAAAGCCGATATAACGGCACTCAAAACTACTACTGAATTGGAGATCAAATTATTGGACAATCAGTCGCACAAAGAGCTTAACAAAAAACTGGTTGAGTTTGACCTCGAAATAGACTCAATGCTTAACCTACTGTCCCATATCGATCCCAAAACTAAAGATGGTCAATTGCAGCTGCAAAACATGCAAGGTGCATTTTTGCAACTTGTACCCAAAGTACAGGCTGAAATAGGCACAGTCAATGGCACACTGGTTGGTATGATACAAAAAACTAGTCTGGATCTGGCACTACAGGTAACTGATTTGGACAGAGATTTGCAGACATTGGCTCAAAAAGCTAAAACCGCCGATACTGGCAAACTGGTCCTGGTCAGTTTACCAAAATTAGATGCATTGGCTGCACAATTAAAACAAGCCATTACCGATATTGAGGTTGAATTGAAAAAGTTACCATAGATTATAAAAATCATAATTAAATAACCAAAAAAAAAGTTTTATTATTTAATTTAAAGCTTAATTTACAACTTCTGATAAAAATAATAATAAAATAAATATATTTTTGTTGATTTACTTAATGATTGAAAATAATAAAATTGTTTTTTAAAAATTATTACAAAACAGAAAAAATCTGTTATAATAAAATTATTAATTAATTAATGGGTTTTCAGTTAATTTTATTTTTGTTATAATTTTACTCAAACTGCAATTGTTTATTAATAACTAAATATAAGTTGCTGATAATAATGTCTAATTTAATTATCTAACACTTATAGTCTACCTTTTATAAAATAACTTCAATAATAGTAATATTATTTTATAGTGAATTAGTAATAAAAATATTGCAAAATTATTTAGTTATCTATTAAACAATACAAATATAGCTGTTTATAATTTAATCGCAGTTTATCTTATTATTCAATAAAAATAATATAATAATTATAGATATTATTGTATAAAAATCCTTTTAAATATTATTGATTTGTTAATAATCTTGAATATTATTATCAAATTTAAATAAATATCATAAAACTGAAAATTGAAATTGATAATTTATAAGTAGTTATTAATAAGTTAAAAGTAAATAGTATAGACTTAGGTATTGATTTTTTGTCAATTTAAAGGAAAATACAAGCAAACAATACAAAATTAGTGATCAATTAATTATAATTAAAATAAATACAAATTTTAATAATGAGGTATCTTTGTTATACATTATTTTTACTACTAACAGATTTATACATAAAATGTAAGATAAATATAAGTTATATTATATAACAATAATAATTATAATTATAAAAATTTAAGTTTTAAAAGAATAAATACAATAATCTTTTTAAAAATTTAGGTGATGCCAGTGGCTTAGTTAACCCGGATCAATTAAGATACAATTTGGACATGTTGAAAATTACGACACAATTTGAATTGAACATGCTCAAAGTTGAACAACATCAGGAACTCAATAAGACTATGGCCGGTATGGACACCGAAATAGACTCAATGGTCAAACTGTTGTCCACTATTGATCCGAAGACACCCGACGGTAAATTGCGATTACAAAATCTGGACACTGCACGGCTGGCATTGACATCGAAAATTGAGTCAGAACAATTAGCTATCAATGATAAAATTGCCAAGATGCAACAATCAACTAGTTTGCAATTGGCACTTGATGTTGCCCAATTGCACGCAAATTTGTTGGTACTAGTACAAAAATCAAAAAGTCCCGATACAACCAGCAAATTAGTACAGGTAAGTTTACCAATTTTGGATACTATCAAACATAATGTGTTACAAGCTATCCAGCAAATTGGTATTGAGTTACAAAAGTTACCATGATAAACTAAACTAATAAAATTATTTCTAATGTTTTAATTTTTATTCAAAAAATATTTTTGTATGCATTTTGACTTTCTATTACTAAATAATAATAAAAATATATTATTATAAATTATAATATTTTAATGAAAAATATTCTAAAATTTAATTATTAAATTAATATTTACTAAAAGTATTATAAATAGTTTAATAACAATTGAAATCGTATAACAAAATAATGTATTTATGTTAAGATAAAATGTTATTCCGTCTCTAAAAATATCAATTATAAATAAATATATAATAAAAATATAAAATTATATTATATTAAATGTTTACAGTTTAATGTAAATTAAATATAATATAATATCCTATTCTGCAAATAATAGTGTTTTATTGTAATATAAATTAATAAATAATATAATTTATTATTAAAATTAAAGATGTTTAATTTAGTGTTATTTATTATATTTTTACATGTGTTTAATATAGTATAAAAGTAAGTAATTATTTTTTATTTATATTGTTAAGTTAGGTTGATAATAATATCTTATATAGTATTTTTAATGTATAATATTACTGTATATATATATTTATAATGTAATGTATATTGTATATTATTGATATTTTTATATTATTTATCAACTTGTAATATAATATCTGTTAAAGACAATTAATTGATACATTTTATAAGTTTTAAATATTAGTTTACAACTCACTATATTATAAAATTTAAAACAATTACTTCATATTTATTTATAGTATAAATTTTTTATCAAAATAAATAATAAATTACATTTAAAATGTTTATTAAATTTATATTTTTAATAAGTTTTATTAATTCAAATTTTAGTTATCATCATAAAACTAGTAAATTATTATTTGATAATTTATACAACAATGTTTTAATTAAATCTACAGTTGAAAGTTTATTTAAAACATATGTTACTAATAATAATAACAATAATTATAAATTAATCGGTGATAAACTAATTAATTTTGTAAACAAACAATATGGGTTTCATTGTTTAGTTTCTATTGAGGATAATATCAAAAATAATATCAATGACCATGATCATCTTAATTTATTATTTAGTGATCTTGAAATCATTGTACTATTTAAATATGAAATAAATGACAAAATTGTTAAAATATTAAAAATTAATTTGAATGGTTACACTAAAGCAACTAGCACAATTACAGAAACTGTAAGTAAATTGAATTAATTAAATGTATTAAATCATTTATTATTTATTATTTATACACAAAACAACTAAAAATCATGATATAACTATTTTTGTTTATTAATTAATATAAATTAAATAACATTTACAACTACATAGATACTGCAATATAAAAATAAATACTGTACTATATTTACTATATCAATATATTGATTTATATTTAATAAACTTGATTACTAAATATATATATATATAAATAATTACTAAATCAAAATAGGGTGAACACATATTAACTCGTATAAACAAAGCGCGTGTAGTCGAGTACGAGCTAATCAACGCGTATAACATCGATCGAGAGTCGACTGTATCTAATATCACCAAAATTGTTAACTTGTTTAAGGAGGCGACCGATGAGTTTCAAGATAATAGATGTCTGACTCTCAGTGAAGACGAAATGGTGACAACCGGTGGTAACAATTGTTACGAACAAATTGGGAAATGGATTTTAGGTGAATTGGGTTGGGTCGGGGACTATCACTTAACAGTCGGTGAAAAACCATTTATGGCTACCGAAGCCCGTGTAGGCGATAGTATTATGTTTGATTTTTTTCTTGATGAATTATATTTTGGTATCTATCAGGGAAAATAATGTATTGTATATATCATATTATTATTATTGTAATATAATTTTTAAAAATATGTGTATTTTATGTATGTATGTGTGCAGAGTATGATTATCCAACTCTTGTATAATTGATTTATCTGATCAATAATATTTTATATCTAAAAATAACTAAATGACAAAGTTATAGATAATAATAAATTTAACCAAGATTATAATTTAGCATTTTTTAAATGTATTAATGTATTTAAAGTCAAATGCAATTATTATCTGATTTTACATTATATTAATATATGGTCAATTACAAACATGTTCAATTTAATATCATCTATAATTTTACCCTTGATAATTTTTGCACATAATGTATAGTTGACTTAAAAATTTACTATAAATAAATGATTCATGAGTCGGATATTCATACTCTGCTTATGTATGCATTTTTCTTATTTAACAATAGTTAGCATTAAAACTGTAATAATTTACCAAAATTAATAATTTTTAAAATTACATTTTCAAACAAAAGTCAATTTTCATTATATTAGCTGTTATGCCATTATGTATGTAATATTTGTATAATATTAACAAATATAAAATTTCCAAAATCAAAATACATAATGAAACTAATAGACCAACATATAGTACGATCATACTATTGCGATTAAATTCATCTAGATCAATTTTGGATAATTTTACATTTTCAATTACTTCATTCATATAGAGAGTATTATTTGTTTTGAATGCATATTGTTTAAATAGATATTGTGCACGATTATATTCTAAAAAATCTCTAATCATATTATGATGATGCTCCAGGCCAGTTTCAATAATTTGTTTGAATCTAGTAGTTTTTTAAAAAATATAAAATTAAATATATTGTAAACTTTTAAAATAAATAAATTAATTATTATATGTAAATTTATAATACTTACACAAATGTCATAATTTTATATTGTGAAAACTGTTTGGACACAATTAGTACACCAAAATTGTCTAGATATTTATATTGACTTAGATGAAATTGATTTTTAAATTTTTTATGATGTACACTAAAATAATCGGCCATCAATGATGTTGTTATATAAATGGCCCGATTATTGATAACATTTTCAAGTATTACATAATAAATATTTTTATTATAATAATTGCGTTCAACTAAATTACTATAAGTATTATTATTATTATCAAACATGCCAATTTCATGCATTGACTCTAACATTAATGGATTAACAATTATTTTTAGCTCCCGGTGCTCAACCATATCATCAATAGTCTCGACATATGGTACAGATTGGACATGAAAATATGATTTCAATAGTACACTGGAAAATGATTTAGTAATAACAATACCCATAAATAGTGATAAAATAATCACAATTTTAAATGTTAATAGTTTTATAATACTTATTTTTACTTTTTTGACAATATTAATGCTATTTCTATGAATATCATATTTGTCAAGTTTTTTCAATTGCATATCACCTTGGCCAGTTATCATTCTAATTAGATCATCTACAATAAGTTTCCAATGAGATTGATTTACAAAACTATTATTGTTATTTATAAATTTTAATAAATAGGCCAATATTATTAGAGTACACAATATTAGTGACCATATCTGATACATATTATATAATTAATAATTATTCAATAGTTACTATTTATTTGTTATTTTCAAAATATTTATTACCTTAATGTCAAATAAACTAGAAATACTAAACAATGATAAATCTTTGATTATATGTAATCCAGTTATTATTACAATGAGATAGCCATGGTAAATTGTTATTAAAGTATAATCATTTATCATTGATTCATCAGGTACATTCATTATTAATGAAATAGTTTCATTCTATTGTTAAAAATAAATACAATAATTATAATATAATAGCATTTTTCATATTAAACTCAAAATGTTACTAATTATTATTATACTTACTTTATCAATATTATTATTAAAATTAATTATCAAGCATAATTTACATAGAATAAATTGTACAATTGATAAATCTTTTCCATAAATTAGACTCTATAACGAAAATAAAAAAATTAATTTTTAATACAATTTAATTTTAAATTTATCACATATTATTAAAAACAAAACAAACTTTAATTCCTCACAATATGTGACATATATTTACCCGATTATAGTCTACGGCATTAATTTGCGGACAATTTCTTTCCGAAACAAATATTGCAATAAATTGCCCGCAAATTAAGGCCGAAGACAATAATCGGCTAAATATATGACACAAATTGTGAGTAATTAAAGTTTTTATTTTCTTTAATTTTTAATACTATTTCATTTTTTAATCAAAACATTTTTAATTTATTTATATCTAATATCTTTTATAATTTTAATTAAAATTACTATACATCAAATAAATTCAAAGTAACATTGTCACGTTGAATGCAATCATTGTTACATATAAATAATTTATGCTTATTTAATATTGCAAATGGTATTACTTTAAAAATATGTCTAATTATTAGTTTATTATAAGACATTTTAAAGAAATATTTATTATTATATAATAAACATTTATTATCATTAGCTAAATATCTCTTTAAAATATTTGTCAAAACTTAAAATTTATACAAATATAATGTTTAACTTATTGTTTAAAAAATTAATTTTTTTAATTAATAGTTTATTTTGAATCTCTCACAATGAAAATATTATTTTTTGAAAATGATAGAAATATGTTTTACTAATTTATATATTAATACTTAATAACAATTTAATCTATTATTTCTGCTATTTTTCTAACAGTTATTAAATATACTAAAATATAATTGCAGACATATAATTATTTAAGTTAATCAATAAAATTAACTTTATCTAAGTTTGTGTATTATCATTAATATAACTTTAATTGTTTGAATATGTTTACTACTATTGATTTAAATTGTTTTTGTATATTATTTAATTATTTATAATTAATTAGAAATTAATTTTAATAACAAATATTACTTCAAAAGTATTTATTATGTTATATTAATTAAATTAAGGTTAATAACATTTTTTATAATTATTTATTTAAATATTCAATCAAATTTATATTTCATTTATATATTATTATATTTTGAATTATAATTGATCAACACTTAAATGGTTTAATTTTATTTTTTTTACATTTTTAAAATATTTAATATTTTGACTTTTTTGATGAGATAATTTAAATTTACAAATTTCATAAACAAAAATATAAATAGCTAGACTATAGCCAACAATAATGATTACCCCATTATTACGACCAAACTCATCAATGTTAATTGTGTGCGAATAAATTTTGTTGACTTCATTATTATATTTAATTGTTATATTATTATTATTTTTCAATTTTTTCAATATGATCATGGCAAATTTTTTGTTGATTATTTTAAGCAATACATAGTGATGCAAATTTAGACCATTTTCTAAAACGCTTTGATAACTATATTGAAATTATATAAAATAGTTTAACCAATAAATACAGTATTTTATGATATTTTTATATCTTATAACAAATAACACAACAATTATTATTTTTTAAAAAACATACATTAATTTAAATTGATGATAATAATTGATATTTCTGTATAACATTAATATACCCAATGATGGCAAATATTGATGTGATATTGCAAATAGATGTCTATCTTCTCTATAAGTATCGTAAAACTCGTTTGCTTTTATAGAGCTTGTTATCCAAACCGCTTTATTTTTAATCAATAGATTTAACACTTTATATGACTCCATTAGATACACTAAATTTATCTAATAATAAATATATAGTTTTTAATAAAAAAAATATTAATGTTTAATTAATTAGTTTTTAAATAAAATAACCTACTTTATTTTTATATATACGATTTATCAGTTTACCTAACTTGATATTATCAACTAAATTACTTTTATTTATAAGTTGCAATTGGTGTTCATTTATAATAATATCAATTGATTGATATTTAACTAAGTTATCTATGCTATCAGTTAGCGGTTGAGATGTTTGTTTAAAATATGTATTTAATAATATACTGGAAAATGATTTTGTGATTACAAATGATGCAATTGTCCACAAAAGTAACATACTATACAAATATCTATAATGATAGTTAAACTATTTGGTAATTTGCTATTTTTAATTTTAGTTAAAGTTAGACTACTCTGATGAGTAAACAATCTTAAAATGTCAATTCGTAAATAATTGATTATTTTATTATTTTTAATTATTGAATAAACTAATATAAGTGTTACAAATATACTAAACAATATAAGCATCCATACCTATTGATTAAAATAAAAAATTATTAATTTTTTTATAAAAAGTATTGTTAGTAAAATACTAGATTTGTTTACATTAAATTCAAATAGATTTTTGATACTTAATATTGATTTATCAATTATCAATTGCATTCCACTAACAATAACTGTTAAATGACCTTGATAAATTGCAAATATATCGATATCGATATCTGTATCATTATCAAATTTTAATAATGATAGTACATTTAATGTTAATGTAATAAAGTTATTCTGTAAATAAAAATAATTTTTTAAATATTATTATTAATTTTACAATTTATTCAAATTTAAAAAAATAAGTTATACTTACAGATTCAATATTTGTAAATTCAATAATTAAACAAAGTTTGCACAGAATATATTGTAGTAATGAAAGATCTTTACCGTAGATTAAAAACTAAAAATATTTTATTTTATATATTTAAATTATAAACAGTTAGTAAATATTTTTTAAAAATAATTAAAATTAACATAAAAATATATGTATTAATACTGTAATACTGTTCCTCAGTTACTTCTAAACTCAAGTTTCCTCTATAATTACAATTGTAGCCACATTTGAGAAATTTTACATTATTTGGATTATAAAAATAAAATGGTATAATTGATAACAATTTGTGAATTTTTAATTTGTGAATTGACATTGTTAACCAATTGAATGAAATAATGCAAGTACTATAAGTATGTTTGACTGTATCGTGACTTTATAGTGATATCATTAAATATAGTAAATTTTTATTATATATTTTAAAAATATATTATTTCATGAAGCTTTAAATAAAATTTCATTAAAATTAAAAAACAAACAAAAATTTTATTCGGTTCCAAAGTTAGAAGCTCCGATAAATATCAATGAATTTTAATAATCATGAAATACAAACCATTAAAGGCTATTGCTAAAAATAAAAATAAAAGATAAAGCAATCATCAATAAAATCAGTAGAGTGATAAAATTAAAGACAATATTATAGATTATAATTAAGCAAGGATACCAAAATTTTAAAACAAGTTGTTTGTTTTTTAACCAGGGTTGAACTTCGGGTTCCCCAAATGAAATAACTACAGAATAAAATTTCTATAATTTTTAAACTAATCAAGAAAAATCTGCGGAAGCTTGTCCAAGAAATAGCTAAATTAATCAAGATTTCATACTAGAATATACATATCATTATGCATATTACTTTTAATGCTAGACATGTTTGCATCAAGTAAATACTGTTTATACAATCCTTGAAACAAATGGACACCCGATTTACTTTATACCTATAAGTGCTGAAGATGTTAAAAATAACTTTTCTCTTTTCATATATAGACACTATACATCTGAGGTTTCTTGTATATATTTTTTAGAAATTCTAACTACATGTGATACCGAGATATGGGGTTTCAAAGACAACAATATCAAAAAAATTTATAAATAATCTTTAAATCTGGAAACATAATCTATGTCATATTTATTATGTTATTGGGTAGTGAGTGTTGGATCTTTCCAAAATTTAAGACAAGGATCTAGCTGACTTATATATAAAAAATTTTTTGTTCAAACTCTTTGCTGTTAATTATGATAGGCGTTCAATGTCGAGAAGTCAACCTAGGATTGTTAAATTCCAGACATTAAATACAGTAATTAATGAAATTTTTTTAATGATAATGATGTTAAATAATTTTAAGGATTTTAGTGCAATATACATCTGTTACCTTGCTACTTCTTGCACTTTAAAAATTTTAAAAATATTTCATAAGTTCAAAGATATAACAAAATGAAAATAGTGATTTACAGGTAAATTGGAGCATAAGAACAAAAGAATGTCACCGCGTTATGACAAGTAGATGAAAATATTAAAACGTGTCATATGACACATAAAACATTATATTTTATTAATATTTCGAATTTTTGAATTTTTTTTAATGATTTCGTGTAAAAGCCACGATATTATCAAACTTACTTATATATTATGTATGACTAAAAATAGTATATAAGATTATTTATTATCTATATATAAAAAGTATATATAATAAAATAAAATATTAATATATAAACATAATCAATATTAAGATTGTTAACTAATTATCTATAACTATAACTAATAATTAAAATTGTTTTTTTTAATAAGCAAAGTTACTAAATAATAAGTTACATTTATTAACTACTTTAGAAAACAATAATTAAAGTTGCAATTATTTGTAAAATAAATGGCAATATTATTTAGATAATAATTATTTTTAAATTTGTATAAAAATTTAATTATAACTATTAATTAATAAATGGTGTAAGCAAATTTGATAAAATTAGTAGAAATGTCCTGATAATAAAATTAACCAAGATTATAATTATATTAAAAATTACAACTAATTGTGGTCAAAGACTAAAAAACTCCAAAAACTCAAAAACTATTGATAAAAATCAACAATTTTATTTAAAAAGTTAATTAAAATTATCATTTATTACTTGCTAATTAAATATATGATTATAATTGTATCATTAGTTATATATATACTTTAATAATATACCATACAATTTCATAAACTTTATTTTGAATATTTAATGGATATCAGAATCTAAATAAATAACTTTAATAAATAATGGTTTAAAAATACTTATATATTTATTATAAATGCTATAAATAATATTTTACAGTCTTTATTATAATTTATTATAATTTTTATATTGTAATTTAATATAAATATTTCGTAAATTATGTATAAAATCTATGAAAATACATATGTTATTGAATAGTAATAAATTAATAATCAATTTATAGGGCAGTATTTGGATCATAATTAGTAACTAAATTTTCCGATCCTTTGACATAACCATGTTTTACACCATTAAACTCGTCAATAGTCTCCCTGTCCAACAAATCCTGTTTAAACTCACTGATCATATAACACCAGGCATTGTGTTTGGAGCCGTCATCTAATTGCACCGGTATCTCGAATTTGTCATATTTGAATGTACATGGTTGCGATTCAAGATAATCAATACGATCGCGAAGTTTATTATCCACACGTATTAAATCACCATATATTTGCTTAATTAATAAAAAATTACATAAATTTTGATATATTTTTCTAAACAATTTTTTATAAAAAAATTTACTTTTATTATCATTTAATTTTCTATTATTACTTTATACTAAACATAAGCCATAATTGAGTCAGATACTCAAACATATTATTGTTAAATATTTTATAAATTATAGATTAAGTTTATAAATTGAATAAATTATAATTATATAAATATCCTATAAGTAATTTGTGTATAAAAACAATGAGACAAACTTTGTGACTAAATATAATAAAAACTATTTGGTATCAGTGAATCTCATTTGAATTTATTAACAAATAAAGTTAATATAAAATAAATGCCATATGATATTACTTAAAGTTTTTTATTGTTATTAATTATTTCTAAAATTTTTTACAAGTTATTTAATATTTACTAAAATAATTATTTTTGTATAATAAAAATAATTTAATTTAAAATAAATGAATTAATTAATCATTTACTATTCAATATGTTATTTAAAATCAATTTAAAAATAATTAGAAATTAATTTGTTAGTTTCTAAAGTTATGATAATTTGTAAGTTATATATTTTTAAATTCAAAACTAATATATAATTTTTTTAATACTTACTTTACCATGATCTTTTTTAAACAATAAGCATGGTATATTATAATCAGATAAAACCATCAATGGCCATTTATCAACAGTTTGTGCCTGACCCATATATTCTAATTGACCATACTCATTTGGATCACTGGCTATATAATGATGATTGGCCTCATCACGTTTTAATGTTCCATACATAAAAAATAAATGCGTCTGGGACATATTTTATTTAAATGATTTTTAACTGTTTTTAGTTTTAATAAAAATGTTTAATTATACTTAAATGCAATATAAAATGTATTTTTTAACTTATATATATTATATATTAAAATTATCTTTAAAATCATTGATAAAATTAATCCCATGAAAATTTTTCTGTACTAATACTAATTATGAACACTTAAAATTAGATTATTTATAATAATTATAATCAGTTATAATACTATTATTAATAATTAAATAGAAAATTAAAAACTAATTAAACTTTTGTTTAATAAAAAATAAATAAAATTGAACTTTTTTTATTTAATGACAATTGTCCTTAAAAACAACAATTATTATTTTTTATTTAAATAATTACCGGTAATTTGATTTAGATTGTTAAAAATACTATTAAATAGATTAAGTTTAACTAAATATTACTTATAAATAAACAGATCAATATTCTAAATTAATAAAAAGTATCATGCTTATAACTGATGTTTTTTGCATGATCAATTCATGATATAAAAATTAAAACATTTTTTGTTATGTCATTTAATAAATTTGATTTATTACTTAATACAGCAAAGATAACAAATTTACATTATTACCTTGTCTATTTTTGATTTATAATTTATTACAATCAATAATTTTTTTGCAGGATAAATATAAATTTATCATGTTATTTTTCATAAATTTACTAATTATTAACATTATATTACTTCTACAGTATTTTATTTTAACAAGTGTTTTAAGGAACAGTAGTAAAAACATTAAATTTAAAAATACAATTACGTAAATTAATATAGTGATTAATATATTAATATTTTCAAATAATTTTTACTAGATAAATATTAATTTATCATGAGAATTTTTTTTATTTTTAACAAAATTAAAATTGTATATAAACTAACATACTTTTTAAAAAACTACATTAATTTAATTACAAATACTTTTTACTATTGTTTCAAAAAACAATTGTTTAAAAAATGTTTATCCCATTTTTAAATGGATTGGTATGCCTATTAGTCTATCAGCAAAAAAGTGGTATTATACCTGATATTATTGACAACTGTCCTGTTAATACTGTTCAGGTAGATTTATAGATTAATTTTATTTAAAAATAAATTAAATATATTTAAACATTATTTTATTTTATCTAGATTACTTACAACAATAGTAAATCAGTTGAGTTTGGCAATGAGCTCACACCTACTCAAGTTTCAGATGAACCAGTTGTGCACTGGCCGGCCAAACGCAACGCATTGTATACATTGGTTATGGTAGATCCCGATGCACCGAGTAGACAGTCACCAGAGTTACGTAGTTTTAAGCACTGGGAAATCATAAATATACCAGGTGATAATGTGAGGTCTGGCCAAACAGTTGCCGAGTACTGGGGTTCGGCTCCACCAAAGGACACCGGTAAACATCGGTACGTGTTTTTGGTGTACGAACAACACTGTCGTATAAATGGCGTAAAACGCGACGACAGTGAGGAAAGTCGCGGTCATTTCAATGTCCGACAATTGGCCGCTAACTATACGTTGGGCGCACCCGTTGCCGGCAATTATTTTTTGGCACAGTTTGACGGCTCGTATTAATAGAATTGTATTGAGAATAATAAAAATCTTATTTAAAAATCAATTAAAGTTAACTTTTATAAAGATTTTCAAAATTAAATGCAATTTAATTTATACAAAAAAGTGTGTTATTATAAAATTTAGTTGTATTATTAAAAGTATTTTATAATAAATATCTACAGTTTGCAAAAAACAATAACAATTTCTAAATATGATTAAATTTTAATTTAAAAATTACAGACTACAGTACAATAAAAATATATTATAAAATAACTAATTGAGTATGTTCAAATGTGTTAATAATAATAAAATTAACAATATTTTTCAATGTCATTTAGTTATTACATAATATGCAAAGTAATAATATTAATTTTTTATTATTAATTTGTAATAATTAATTTGTAAAATTATTAAAAGATTATAACTTAACTAACATTAATGTTTACAAATAATTAATATTTATTTTCAATATATTGTTTTGACAATTGTTAATAAAGAAATTAAAAAAAAACAATTTTATCACATAATGAAAAATAGAGTACTGTAAAAACTTAGTTACTATATTAATATTGAAAATTAATCTAGTATAATTTACTATTTTACAGTTTAACAAAAAACATACTTATTTGTTAAAACAAAAATTATTTGACATTTAAATTATCAATAAATGTTTTTCAATATTTATTATTTTGTTTTAATATTTACAAATGAAAACATAAATATTGCTAAAAAGATTAACAATTTTATTCTTAAAAAAAAATAAAATTATTATTTTATACATTCTAATAAATAAATTATAACAACAAATAAAAAAGTGATTATAATTGTATCATTAGTTTAATTTAAATTTTTTATTTGTTGGGTTAGATTAACCTGAAACCGTGTACACACACACACACACACATAATGTTAAACAAAGTTTATTTTGAATATCTAATGAATACCTGAATTACATAATTAGTTTAATAATGAGTTTAAAATACTTATATACTTATTATAAATGCAATAAATAATATTTTACAGTTTATATTTAAAATTGTATTAATTTTATATATTAATTTACAATAAAAATAGTCTTTTAGTATGAATTTATATTTTTTTTATTAATAATTTATACCTAACCAACTAGACATACATTATGCTTAATTTTATGTAATGGAATACCAGGATCACATAATTAATTAAAAATATATTTAATAATATATTATTAAAAAAATTTCAATAACTAAATAGTATTCGTTTCTTATAAATATAATTTATATATTTTATTAAATACAGTATTAAATATAAGTATATATATTAAGCAATTCAATTGTTTAAATAATATAAAAATTTATCCTGCTTATAAGTTATAACTAATGTTGTTTGTATTATCAATAGATTATATAAAATAAATAGAGAACTTTTTTTCGTTATTACATTAACTCTATTTGATTAATAACGTCATATTGTAATTACAGTATATTGTATAGCAAATATAAAATATATATACAGTATATAACGTAAATTATTTTTGATTTATAGTATATTACAATATAATTTTTCCAGCATAAATATAAATTTTAACATGTTGGTTTTTATATTTTAATTAATTAATAACAGTATATTACATCCTTTTATTAATACAAGTGTTTTGTCTTACAGTATTAAATACATTGAATTTTTAAAAAACAATTTTGTAGATCATTATCAATAATTAATATACTAAGACTGTCAAAAAATTCCATCTAAATAATTATGAATTTTATCATGATAATTTTTTTATTTTTTTAACCAGATTAAAAATTGTATATAAACTGACATATTTTTTTAAATACTACATTAAATTAATTATTAAAAAGTTATAATTATTTTTCCATAAAATACTTGTATTAAGAAAATGTTTGTACCCTATTTAAGTGCACTGGTATGTCTATTTGTCTATCAGAAACAAAGTGGTATTATACCTGATATTATTGACAAGTGTCCTGTTAATGTTGTCGAGGTACATTTTGTTTAATAAAAATGCATTTTAAATTAAATAAATATCTTGATACATTATTTTATTTAATTTAGATTACTTACAACAATAGTAAATCAGTTGAGTTTGGCAATGAGCTCACACCTACTCAAGTTTCAGATGAACCAGTTGTGCACTGGCCGGCCAAACGCAACGCATTGTATACATTGGTTATGGTAGATCCCGATGCACCGAGTAGACAGTCACCAGAGTTACGTAGTTTTAAGCACTGGGAAGTCATAAATATACCAGGTGATAATGTGAGGTCTGGCCAAACAGTTGCCGAGTACTGGGGTTCGGCTCCACCAAAGGACACCGGTAAACATCGGTACGTATTTTTGGTGTACGAACAACACTGTCGTATACGTCATGTAAAACGCGATGACAGTGAGGAAAGTCGCAGCCATTTCAATGTCCGACAATTGGCCGCTAACTATAAGTTGGGTCAACCCGTTGCAGGAAATTATTTTGTTGCACAGTTTGACGGCTCATATTAATAGTATCGACAAAACATAATATGAATAATTATTTTACAAAAGTAATTATCAAAAAAAATTTCAAAATTATTTTAATGAAATATACTATAATAATATTTTAAATATATTGTATTATTAATTTTATTTAATAAAAATCTACAGTTTGCAGCAACAAAATACTTTCTATCAAAATTATTACAAACTAACTTAAACTAGATAATTTTTTTAATATTAATAAATAATTTATGTTTTCTAATATAATTAATTGTATTATATATTTAATTTAGATTAAATAATTTTATAATAATAAATTAATTGAATATGTTTAAATGTTTAGTACAATATAAAATTTTAATGTTATTTTATTATTATATATCGATGTAATTGTAAAATAAAATGAAGTAAAATGAAATAAATTTATTATTTATTTACTACTTATTTATTTTAAAATCTTAAAATATTATTATTGGACAATAATAAGTTAATTATTTTTAAAAATAATGAATATTTATTATATTATTTAATATCATTATCTATAAACTAAATTAATAAAAATTAAATATAAGAATTTAATGATAAAAATAATTATATTATACATGTTAAACATTTCTAATAAAAATTAAAATATTTGAAATGTATTAATTTTTAAAACTAATGTTAATCAGTTAAGATATTGTAATTTTAAACCATAAAAAATAAATAAATTTTATTTTAAAACACTTTTAGCATAATTTTGATTTCGTTGACCAACCTATTGATGGCTTCGTCACTGTTATCTCTTTCCACTCCATTTGTATACCGGAGTCCATGACTACCAAACGTGTCATACGTGTTATACATCTCCAGCTCGAGTAGTTGTGGCTTAAAATCAGTCAAAAAGTAGGTCGACATCGACTTCCTGGACATGTCGTCCATTTCAATCTCAATAGTCATTCGGCGATAAAACTTTGGATGACATTCGAGTTCATTCATACGGCTGAGCATACGGTCGTCGACCGCATAGATTTCACCAAATATTTGCTAATAATTTAATTTAATTCAATTTAAATTAAATTAAAACAATAAATTTTTAGTTTTAATTTTAATTTTAAAAAAATAAACTAACATACATGGCCAATAAATTTTTTATAAAGTAATTGCGTTATATTATACTTAGTGGCAATAACCAGTGGCCACTTGTCTATCGTATAGCCAGTGCCCACACAATCGGCCACACCGTTATTGCTATCTTTAAGTACATAATGATTTGGTTGATCTAAAAAATTAATTAATTTGTTATTAAAAATAATTATTATGAAATTATTATTATGATTGTTATTACCACGTTTTAATGTGCCATAAACAAACATTAAATGTTTAGCCATTTAAAACTATTTTATTACTCTATATTAAAAATAATTTAGTAGCAATAAGTTAAACTTTAATTTATAATAGTATTTATTGAATCAATTTAAAGGTAAGTTTATTAAATTAGATAACATTTATCAATATTGTGTTATCTTTAATTATATAAAAACTTAATCAAAATTACTTTTTGATTTTTTGCTTTTACTTTTACACTTATTTTTTAATTTGATTGACTATTTTTGTTACTAATTTATTATTGTTACACATTATTAATATATTTAAAACACTTGGTTTTAATAAATGATTGAAGTCGTGTAACAAAGTTTTAAAAAACTTTTATTTAATTTCATAAAATAATATATAAATTACATTAATTTAATGTTGACATTGAATTGAGTGAATAGTTTAACATATATTATAGATATGTGACAATTGATTTTAAGTTATATTTAAAGTGTAAGTAATAAGTGTATATAATATAATAAAATAATACAATAAAATGTGTTATATGTGTACAGTATATGGTTATAAATGCATTGGTATGTGTGTGTGTGTGTGTGTGTGTGTGTGTGTGTGTGTGTGTGTGTGTGTGTGTGTGTGTGTGTGTGTGTAGCAGGGTTGGAAAAATATAAGGTTTTGAATTTTGACTTTGTATATACAGTAAAACACAATGTATTGCATGTATTATACAAATTTTAAAACTAATATATATTATGTTAAAAAAATTTAAACTTGTAAAAATGTAATTGCTAGAAAAATCGAAAAAAAACTATTATAATTTAGAAACGTTATTTCTAAGTTATAAAAATCAAATAATTTAAAATAAAAAAAAATGAAATTCACTAAAAAATAATATTAAATCTATATTTATTATAAAACATTATTTACTTTGCTTATATCAATGTTTTTAGCAATAGGTGGCGCTAATTTGTTTTTGTAAGCCAAATTGGTCATGTATTTTACATTGTATTATACTGTATAATATGCTTTGTATTATACAAACATTTTGTCTCTGCCAACACTGGTGTATAGTGTTATAGTGCTAAATGCATTGGTATGTGTGTGTGTGTGTGTGTGTGTAGTATTATAGTGTTAAAAGAAATTGTATATCTATTGTATATGTAATGTTAAAAGCATTGGTATGTGCGAAGTATGGGGTGACCATTGATGACCAATTTTATCACCATAATTGTGTTGTCCATAAAAATAACTGATATTATTTAAACCTATATATATATTAAACTTACTTAAATATAAAAAATAATTTAAATCCGCCACCGGCTAAGTGAAATTATGCAACTTTTAATTTTTATAAAATACAAAAATGCTGCATATCTTACATATACTAAATTGACATTTAATTATATTGTTATCTTTATTTAATATCATATTAATGGCATAACCTTAGATTATTAATAATAATGATAAATGTTATAAATTAAAAAAATTATAAAATAAAAAATTTATACAGATTTTTAAATATTTTATTAGTTGACAAAAAATATTATTAATTGTTAATTATTTTATTTTGTTGAGCTATTAATAAATCATTTCTATACAGTATATCAATACGATTATAAAATTATAAAATGTAAACAATATAACTGAATATTCATATTAGAAAACTAAAGGTTTTATTATTATTTAAATGCAAATAAATAATTACTTGAAAATTTAGTTTAATGTTAATTTTAAAATTATTTTTAGTTAGAGAAAATGTCATTTATATTTTATATTAAATTTTTAATTTAATTTAATAATATTTTATATTTTATACTTACTACTTTATAAATGTTCTAAATTATAATAAATTATAAAAAGTAATTATTAACAATTAATCTCTGTGTCATAACTTATATAAAATAAAATTAATATTATAATATTGAAATTTGTCAACATTATTGTTAAAAATAAATATTATTATTGAAAGTTTGTAATTTTTTATTTATTATATAATTTATACAATATACACCGTAATTAATAAATAATAATAACTTTCTAATAAAAATAAAACTTTAACTTTAATTAAATATTATATAAGATAATAATAAACATTTTTTGATTAAAGATTTTAACAAAAACTAATAAATACATTTATTAACATTGTAATACTAATTAACTATTACTATGTTAATTATAATAAATATGAGCATGCTAAAAATAATTAATACGATGATAGCCCTGTTGTTTGATGTGTGCGTAATGTCGATCATTGCGTATTTGACGCTTAATTATATAACATTGAATGACAATCACTGCCAACAATACTATGGCCAACACTGTCATTATAACTAACAGATAGGGCAGTATAGACATCATGAGCTCCAGTAGTCTATGATGATGATCACCATTATTAAGAGCCACTACATTATTACTATTGTTATTACTATTATCATCACTAGCCGTATTAGAAGTTATTTCCTTTTTAACTAGATCATTTAGAAAAAATTGTTATTAATTTTTATAAATCATTAACTAATTTTAGAATAAATACATTTATTGTCAGTTAAATCAATTCCGGTTGAATTAAATGCAATATTTTTTAATGGAAATGTCGAAACATGTGGTCGTTCTACTAATTGTGTTGTATTAAGCGTACAATTATAACTGTGATAGTAGTAGTCATTACAATAATTGTCCTCGAGCCAATCTTCAATCTATTTGTTTTTTTATTTTAAATTAAAAAATAATAAAAAACAGAATAATAAAATTTTACATTTAAAAAATAGAATTAAATACTAAATAAAAAATAAACTAAAAAAATATATTTCAGTTTTTAATCAAAATATATAACAAATAATTATAATATCTTAAACTATAAATTAGTAAATTACTAATAATGTATTATTTTGAAAATGATTATTAAGTCATAATTCAAAAACTGTACTAAATTTTATTAGAAAAATGAAAAAACTATTATTATTTTAAATTACTGTTATTATTTAAATAGACTCTATATCTCATTCACATGTTTATAACTTATTAAAAAATTTATTTATAAATTAAATTTACAATAATTTTTTTTATAAACTTTATATTAAATGTCTTTGTATTAATAGTTATTATATATATATTAAATGCTTTTAAGTTAGTGAAAAATTATGATTTCTAGTAAACATTTTATTAATTAGAATTAAAATATATTTCAAAATTAAAATTAATTTATATATTTTAAAAATAAGTTTATAGACAAAAAACTAGACAAACCTGTTTGAAATATCTCTCGACATCATTAGTCTCAGATTGATTGCATCTGACTTTTGCAATTTGATCCAAACAGTCGATGTCAGCCCAAGTGGCGCAACACAGTTGTCTTATTGATGTAGTATTTTGGGTAACGTTCCACTGTTGTCGTGCAACTCGGGCACAGGTATCTCTAGCATCACGTGTCATCTCATCGGTCAGACAGTCAATAGTCAAAGGGTCCGGTAGTGGCGGTTGTGTCGACGGAGTACTGTTAGCCATATCATACCGTAGCATTTGTATCACACAGACAGCCGATCCCCGAGGATAGTCAACACACGTATGATTTTCAATGTAATTCTCCATATTTTGTATCCATTGATTCAAATCATTCAATTCTTCGTAATTGCAATCATGAGTCTAACAAAAACAGTATAAATATAAAAAAATAGTTTTGTATGAATTTGACTAAATTAGTTAATTGTTTTAATTTTAAAATAAATTATATTACTATATTAACAATTATTTTTTTAACATTGAACTTAAGTATAGATTAACTTAAGATAACTTAAGTATAAACATTTAATATTAAATGATATTTATATATTGTAAGTTCACTAAAATATTGCTATATCTATAAGAAATAAACTATAAACTGTTTTAAACATCAAAATTTAATAATTACATTTCAAATTCATACTATACTATCAATTACCTTATTTAGGATGTCCATGGTGCATTCAATATAATCCCATTTAGCGCAACAATCATCGACTAATTTAATTTGTTGGCCATCCTGATAACTCCAATAGTTGATCTCACTAGTTTGACATTGCTCAATTTGTTTGTCTAGTTTCATAAGACATCCCCGGCCAGCACTGGTATATTGTGGAGCACCCGGTATTGTTGGCCAGTCAACAATTTTCATGCATAATGTTGTCGAAACAAAAAATAATTGTAAAAATGTTATCAAATTAACGTAAATTGATGTAGTTTTTTTGAACAACATTTTTTATAGTCTAAAATGTTGTAATAATTTAAATATCTAACATATATAGATTATTTATATTGAATATCTACTATTTAAATAAAATCACAAAAATTATTTTACATTACTAGTTTTTAATGTAATCAATACTAAATTTTAAAAAAATCAATTAACTTATACAGTATTAAAATAATTGTATTATAATAAACGTTATATTATTGTTATTATTAGCGACTTTTGTACTGTACTTATAAATAATTGTTATGGTTACTAAAATATTATCAAACAAAAATATATTTATTTCAATTTTAGTTTACAATTAATAATAATTGTCATAGAGATATTATTGATATATACTGTATATATATATATATATATATATATATATATATGAATATATTATGAAAACTTTTTTAAATAAATAATTTTAATATATTAAAATTTTGAATATTTTTCTTATTTTTATGTTTTAAAAAAATTAATGTTATCAAAATTTTTAAGATTACACTGAATTGATTAATTTTTATGAATAATGATTTAAGATTAAAATATCCAAAACATTTAATAATAATGAGATTATTTATTTATATATATTATACTATTTGATAATTTTTTAATACACTATAATAATTTAAATTAATACTAGTATCAAGTACGATTTAATAATAATTAAAATTTTGTTAGCAATAAAAAACTTAATTAGTTCAATCTCTAAATTAATAAATTAAACTTTCAAATTATTATATTATACTTTACTTTTTTGTTTAAATTATAGTTTTAACAAATATAAAAATATATTATTAATTAAACAAAATTACATTGTAATAAAATGTTAAATCAAATATATTTTAATAGATTTATAAACTTAGAAAAACTGGTAATTGTCAGTAATCTGGTAATCAATATAAAACTTTAATTAAATCTAATAATAGTAACTAAAATAATATATAGATTGAAAGCCCTACTATATTACTTTCAGTATTAATACAGTATTTATTTTTATATTATTTTATCAATTATTATATTTAAATATTATTAATATTATTATATCAAAGATGTCGCATTTGTTACTAAAAGTAATGTTTAATTGTACATGTACAATTATTGTATAGTACAGTACAATAAGTTATATTATTTATATTATTGTATTAAAAACTGCTTAATAATTATTGTTATATTTATAAACTCTAAAATATATACAATTTTGTTAATATCAATGTTTACATCATTCATATGTTATATTAGTAACTCGTAGTTACCATATATGATATACAGTATAGTAATTAATAATATTAAATTAAATTGAACCACCTAGTTTAATTATTATAATTACTTTTTCTATATAAACTATTTAAAATAATATAAAAAATAATATGTATATTAATATACTTATTAAACTTATCTAAGTTTATCACATTTTATTAATTATGATAGTATTTTGTCGATAGTTATGTTTTTTTTTTTTAAATAAATAATTGTTGTTTTCATGTAATTTTATGATTAATAAAAATAATGCCAAACTATATGCCATACGAATTAATGAAGCACACTATAGCACCGGGAGATCTAATTGAGATCAATAGAGGCAATCACGAGCACTGGGCTATTGCCGAAAATCAACTCATGGGCTATGAAGTTATAGACACTGGCAATGGTCGCGGAACAGTTAGCTACGGACCACTGGGCGATATAGTGGGCCAGTCGTGTCAGTGTCGGGTAAATAATCAGCAAAAACTGGCCGAACAGGTGCTCGCTATACGAGACATACCGGTGCGCGAAACGAATGAACTGTTGGAATATTTGCGTAAAATTCGTGGTACTAATAGAGGCTATAAACTATTGGTAAACATTTTTTAGCTAGTTCATATTCAATAATTTTTGTTTTTATAAAATATTAAATAAAACTTATCATATTCTTAATATGATAAAATAATTAATAACTTATTATTATTATTATTATATGTAATATTATTCAGACAAATAATTGTGAAAATTTTGTGACATCAGTAAAATATGGTGTGAGTTGGTCCAGACAGGCCTGTACTGCCAGTGCTATACTCGCTCAGGCACTTAACGATAGTGGCAAAATTAGCAAGTTCAATTTTGTGGCCATTAATGTTATGTCTGGTGTGTCGGTCGGGTGCCGACAAACCGGCAAATATATCAAAAATTGGTTTAAATAGTTTTAAAGTCTACATATTTGATGTATTTTATTATATTAAAAACAACTGCAGAATATATTTAGTATTTAGTATTTAAATATTGTAATGTTATTCAATCAAATGTTAGTTATATTTTTAATACTTATTTTTAATTATTATTATTTATAATAAAAATAACATTTTAATTTTTTGTATTATATAAACTTTTTGTATTTTTTTAATTAAATATTTTTATTTATACTGTTTTGATTGTAAGTTAGCTCTAAATTTACCTTAATTTTATAATAAAGATATACATTATATATTTTGTTATCAAATTATTATTATCATAGTTATAAAAAGTTAATTAGTAGAAAGGCGTTTTTCTCAATAAAATAAAATAAAAAATTTACAAACTTTTAATTAAAGTTTATTAAATAATTTGTCTAAATTAGAGTTTTAATTTACAACAAAATATATGTTTTATGTTTTTATTATACAATATTATCACATGAATACTGTTTACAATGTTTTCAATGTCTTTAATTTTATTGTAGAAATTAATATTAACATTGATGTATTTTATAAAAGTTTTTGTTATAAAAAATATTTTATATAAATTAAAAACTAGTTAATAACACACAAAAAAAATGAAAAATTTCATTTTAATTTTAATATTTATTTGTTATTTTTCTTTTACTAACTGTTATAAATGGAATCTAATCAATGATGACAATAATTTAGACAAAAATGTCAATTATTATGTTAACATAACGGGTCTCAACTGTACCGATGATTTGCAGCCATCACTGGACTCATGTATGGACGACGCACGGGATAATTGGGAGTTTGAGGGGGAACTGGATTTTGAAGCAAACCTAGAATTAGGTGAACGCGCTTTTTGTTGCGCGCTCTGGGATTACATGTTTTGCGTGATTAAAAAAGCGCGTGATGTCTGCAATGTAGAGGATCTGGATGTAGTGATCCGGTCGACCATTGATACACAGAACACGTATGAAAACGAGTGGTGCGATGACTTCATCCGCGACGATATGCTATTCAAGTGTCGTGTGCTGTGGTATGAGCTGATGATCATATTAATCGGCGGACTGGCCGTCATTGTGGTGGTGGCTAACCTTGTCTATAATAACTGTCACCAAAATCGTGTTAAATCTAAACAACAAAAATTCAAAATTGTACAAGTTTATGTTTAATGTTTTTTTGTATTTACATTTTATGATTTATTAAATAATTAATTAATAAATTTAAAAAGAATATTCAAACATTTTTTTAATGATTTATACTTTTAATGTTTATATGTGTATGTGTTTGTGCATATTTTTAATAAATTTTATTAAATAATAAATTTTTCATAATATTGTAAAATATTTATAAAATAACAGTATGACAATGAAACTAAAAAAAAATATCTATAAAAATGTAAACTATAAGAAATTTCTGCAAATAAATGTTTCAAATATTATCACGAATTAGTGGTAACAAAAAAATTAATTATAAATTAAAAATTTTATATTAATAATTGTATTAAAAAATATTGAATAGATTTAATACTTTATAATTATAACCATTAAAGTCATAAAACAATTTATTGTTATATTTCTTTGTTGAATATGTTTGATTCAATTAAATCATTTTTTCTGATTGTAATTATTGTATTTGATCATAGTCATTTATTAAAAAGTGACAATGACCAGGGCAATTTGCCACCAGTAGACGTGTCCGATCGTAATTCAAAAGCCGGTCTAACCGGTGAATCAAGCGGACTGTCCGGTCCACGACTGGGTGAAGTACCCAAACTCAAAGTGTCTGATTGTGACCGAAACAGTGGTCGTAAAAATGGTGGTCACTTTCCCATCAGTTTGTTCGGCCAATTATTTGGACCATTATTACCCAAAACAGGTTTCGAGTCGTTTTGGGGTATTTCCAGTAAATGTATTCCCAAAAATGATCGGGATAGACTTATCGAAAATTGCAATCAACACTGTGAACACTTGGAGCCATTGCATAGAATCTCATTGGTTCACACTATGACCCTGGTCAATAAGGTAGCAGGTGATTGTCTACATTATAATGTAGCATGTTTAGTTGGATTTATTATTACTGAACTGTTTTGTCTGGACATAAGTTTGGACAGACATGAATTGGACAGACATATGGATGTTATCGATGGTTTGTTCAATAGTTATTGTGCACACATTGATAAAAGACTATCACGAAAATGTGAACATATTTTTAAAGGATAAATACAGTATAATATTCTTATTAATAGGATTTTTACATTATTTTCAAAAATTAATTAAAATTATTTCTATTGATTTCTATTAATGATTTTTTTTATAAATTTGTAATTAATTGTACTCTTAATACATATAGTAAATGATTTACTGTTTAAAAGCATAATATTTATTAACAAAACTGTAACTTAATTTAACTTATAATTTTAATAAAGTATTATAATATTAGTAATATTTTTTAAAAATTATAAAATGTTTTGTGATAAATACAATAAATAAATCTCAATTCAAATTAATAACAAATAATTATATTTAATAAATATGAGAATATTTAATTTTAGTTGTTATAAATATTTAAATGAATTGTAAATTATTGAGTCTTTACTTTTAAAAATAGATTTATAATATTTTTTAAAATATGCTTTATTTTTAAATTATTATTTATTGTATAATCAGTTATAATAAACTAATATCAATATAATATTTCGGTAATAATTATAAAAACTATTAAAAACTACAGAAAATATATCTATGTTCTAAAATATTTGAAATAATAAAATTATCATATTTTCAATGTGAGTTAGCTACCAGTCCTCCATCAATGTAAAGGTTAGCACCGGTTATGAAGTTAGCTTCACTTGAAGCCAAAAATATGACACCTTTTGCCACATCTAATGGATGACCCATACGTTTGAGTGGTGTATGAGATATCAATTGTTTATCCAAATTATTGGGTGTGTAGTCATCTGAATGAGTCAAACCTGGACTATATGTATATACAATACAATCTATTGATTATAAAATAAATAATAAAATGAGATAAAGACATACCTGATTGCATTGACCCGAACTCTAGGACCTAATTCCTGAGCCAACACTTTGGTCATCATATCGACACCGGCTTTCGATACCATATAAGCCAACTCAAGAGTGTGCTAAACATCAAAACAATTATTGCTTATTGTAATTAAAGTTATGTAACAATTAGTCCAACAAAAAAATCATTACCGGATTGTTTGATAAATCACTGGCCGTACTAATAACAGTGCCGTTAGTGTCCTCCAAATAAGGTGCCGCCAAATGTGTCAGCTCTAGAAACGATCGCAAATGTTTACGTATAGTGTCGTCAAATACTTGAGTAATGTTGTCGTTGTTTGCAAACAAAACTCCCTCATAGTTGGCATTATTGACCAAAATATCTAACTTTCCAAAAGCATCGATAGTTTTTGTCAAAATCTTAATCAAATCGTCGGTTTTGGTCAGATCGCCGACCAATTCAAGAGGCTATTCAATCAATAGGTAGTAAACATTAGATATAAATATCATTACAATGTCTGACAAACCTTAAGCTTTTTCGGCGATAATTCTTGTGCCTCAACAGCCGTTTGCGATACTTCTGTAGCATTCAAACCGTGAATGACTACCTGTGCGCCAAACAGTGCAAACAGTTTAGCAATGCCTTTACCGATACCGTTGCTCGAGCCGGTGGTCAGCACTACTTTACCGGTAAAATTGCGGGCATTTTGTATTTGATTGATATCATCGACGCTGAACTCATAGGCACCGGTATGTGTGATCGTAAATACACACAAACTTAGTACAAATATTTTATACATTATTTTATGTTTTTTTAAAAATTTTTATAATATTTTACTCAAAGTTATTATTTGTAAAAAAGAGACTTTAATAATAACTTTTTAAAAAATTTTAATAAGAATCACTATTTATAATAATTTTTTCTCAATTATATATTTTTTATTGTGTAATATTTATTAATCTTTTTCATTATAACTATTGCATTGTAAAAATCACAATATATTGTTATAAAAATTGACGTAATATTTTATTTCTAAAAATACCATGGGTGATTTACCTTTTTTAAAAAATATTTTAGACACTATTATTTTCTATAAAATAATAAGAATATTAATAAAATAAAACTACTTATTATAAAATTTCACATTTTATTTTTTAATAAAATAATCTTATATTGAAAAAAATATTAAATAAATAGATATTTTGTTTTTAAAAAATGAGTTCTAAGTAATGAATAATTTTTTGAATGTAATTGTAATTTATAATAACTTAATAAAAAAATTAATAAAAATTGATTGAATTTTTATAAAATCTTTGATTAAATTAGATCCAAATTTGAAATACTATATAAAAAATAATAATACTATAAATTTAGTCAAAACACTGATTTAAACCATATTTTTGATGCAAACAATTAACTTGTTGTTCAAGTTTTGTTATTTTGTCAGACATTTCACGCATTTGATTATTAAATGAATTAAAAACTATATAATTATAATAACCGATACAGAGTTCACTTGGAGTCAGAAAATAATCAGATTTTGTTGAAAACATTTGTTTCATTTGGTGCTGACATGTCGTTAGTATAATAAAATCGCTTAAACCATAAAACCGTCCAAAAAAATTTTGATATTCATTTCGATTAATTTTTGCACCAAATTCTAATGTTTTGCTTATAATTGTTTTGACTAAAAAAATAATGATATCTTATATTAATTTATAAAACTATTTACTAAATGCTAACTTACACGAAGCCATAGCACTCATTGCAAATGTACTGTTCGCTAAAAATAATAATTAAAAATTAATTATAAAATTTTATGAGAAAATTATTTATTAATTAATTTTAAAACAAATATTAAACATACGATGAGTTTTAATTGATTTTACTTTTAAAATATCGACCGATTCATTATTGTTAAAAAAATTTCTAAGTACTTAATAATAAATTATTTAATCTAATTGTTTATTAATATTATTAGATATTACTTTAAATATATTTATATAATTTTGATAAAATACTTACAGTATATATCGTTAGACATCGTTTGGTTCAAAAATAATGGATAAATTGTACTCTTATGTGATATAATTGTTTGCGGAGTCCGAGTAGTGGTCACTATTTGGCCAAACATGTTGTCATTAATTATTGTTGTCTTTATTTTGTCACTCATTTTGTCCGCCAATTTTTCCTGATCTTCGGGAGTACTTATGATAAACATATTATTAGTGATCACACAAAACATAAATTTAATAAATATAATAAAATTTTCAAATATATTTAAATTAATTATTATAAAAAATATTTATGTATTTAGATTAAAATAAAATAAAATACCGAGTATTGTAAAGTATTTTCTTAAATAAACCATTTTTATTATTTTCAATCGTATTTATCTTAATATCTGAATAAATAAAAATATAACATTTAATATATTTTATTAAATTTTCCACAAAATACACATTAATTTGCTAATAATTTCCTATATTATATATTTTAAGCGTTTTTTGTAATTTGTTCATTTTTTATATAATTATTAGTAAAAACGTATTTTAGTTATTATTAATATTTACCGATTTGATCACTATTTGTCATTATATATGTGTTTACGGAAATTGATATTATTATGAATAATATTTGAAAAATCGTGATTAATAATTCATTTATCATTTTTATAATTAAGTTATTGAAACAGTAATTAACTCAAATGTTTTAACTTCAAAATATTTTGGTCTATTTATAAATTTTGAATACATTACTTATATTCATATTCTGGTTATTGAATATTTTATTTTCTGTATTTAACTTTAGGTTCCGCTTTAGTTATTAATTTTAAATTATAATCTTTTTTATAATATATTAAATACTTAATAAAGAAATTTGGTATATATTTGTTATTACTTATAATTATTTAAATAATTTATACACTAATCTCTATAGACTATTTCTTTATATATACTGTATATTATAATATTTATATTAGAATTTATATTTAGATTAATTTAATAATTTTCAAGTTTAAAGAAATAATATTAAAATTATAAAAGGGGTTTTTTATAAGATTTAAATAATAATTAAAACTTCTATAAATTGATTTAAAATGTTATTTTGCATTATTTATAACTTAATAATAGTTTAATTTTATATTTAAAAAATTTTCATATATATTTATTGTTATTATAATCGTTTTTAAATACTTTAGTTAATATGAAATATTTTGTTTACTTAAAAATAGATAAAAATTAAATTATAAAATATGTTAAAATTAGCTTAAATATTTTTTTGGAAATCTATTATATAATTAAATATTATTTTGATTAGTTAGTACAACAAATAATAGATAATTTAAATTAGCAGTTGTAGAAAAATCTTTTAAACTATTAATATTATATTATTATTATTAATTTTTTAGAAATATAAATTTTTATATTTTAATAGAAAAAGGGGAAAATGATTATTATAAACTTGTTTTGCATGTACATCAATAATCGATTTTTTCATCAATGTCATTTATATATATATTGATAATATTAGTGATAACCTTGACTTTGAATTTTATACAGTGTTATAATTTAATAAATATACTGTGTGATTAAATACATTAATGTATTTTATACATTGTATTACCTAATAACACTTTATTATTAGTGATAATTTTTAAAATTAAAGTCATAACATTTAGAAAATACATAATATTTTAACAATACTTCTAATCGATTAAATATATAATAAAATATTTTATTAAAACAAATAATACTAAAATATGTATAATTTTGAAAGTTATATATATATATATATTCAATATATAGTCTTATTAATATTTTTTAATTTTAATTAAAACACTTTTGTTAATAGTATTAAATTGAAATATTAAATAAATATTAATATTTGAAAGTAATTTTAGCAATATATATGTGTAATGTTGTAAAAACCTGTCTGCACTTTGAATGTATATCACTAGTGATAGTTGAGCTGATCTATTGACCTGTCATTGCTTGAGGGCTTATATATCACTAGTCAAACATAATGTCATGAAAGGCAAACAACTATTAGTTTAGCAAAAAAATGTTAAATTTATTTCAAAATTTCCAAAAATATTTTATAATAACAAATATTTTTTTCAACATAAATGCATTGATTTTTTAATAGTTAGTTGATAAGCAAATAGACAAACATTAAATAATAGATTAATATGAAGTTTTAGGATTATTCTATCTATTTATTTTAATATAAACTTTTTATTTTTATTAAAATAAGTTAAAAAATAATAATTTCAAATATTTAATAAATAAACAAAAATGTAATAAATGTTTAATTAAATATTAAAGTATGTATTCATAATAAAATTTATTATATATTCACTGAGATATGATATAAAACTTTTTTATAATATAAAAAATTTATCGTCATTTAGAATACAATTTATATATTAACTAATCAATAATTATTTATAACATATAAATCAAATGAAGTATAATATATTTTATTGTACTTAAAGCTTAAATTTTAAAAAAATCTTTAGTTATTTAATATTTGACTCATTTATTAATTTTTTTAGTAGATTATTTTATCATAATATTAAGACCATCTTATTTGAATTTATATTTTTCTAAATTATTATATTCAAATAATAATGAAAAATAAAAATTGAAAATATTTTATAATATTATATAATCGGATGCTTAATCTGTCATAATAAATAAGATTTTGTATCGTTTAATATAGGATTGCATGGTTTCACCGGCTCATACCTACATATAAAATAAAAGTCACTGATATGACTGTCCTCCCATCCAATTAAATACTATCCATAGTTTTACTCTCCTTTTATTTTAAATGTCTTTTTAAGTTTTTTAGTCCAATAGCGTTGAGACAAATCGCTTTAAGCTATGAAATGCATAAAAAAATATTTTTTGAACAAAAAAAACCTAATGAAGACTAAACCACTTTCCTATTGATTTTCAAATAAAAAACTTAAAAATATACACACAGTGCACATCATACCGGCTCATCACTGGGGGATCAGTTAGTTTGGGGCACAGGTATATAAATAGTATCACTAAAAAATTCGAGGAGACAGTTGTTGTTTGTGTTTTTTGAAATTAGTGGTTAGCCTTAAACTTGACTTTCAATTTTGTTTAGTAAACTATATATATAAATATATTTCTTTGTGTTTTTTTTATCAGAATAATAAAATAGACTATTATAACAATGTTTAAGGTAAAGTTATAAGCATTTTATTTATTATTATTATTTAATAAAAAAAATATAATGTATACTCTAATTTTAATTTTATATAATATAATACTTATTGTTAATAATAATACTATATGTTAACTATTTAATAACTTTAATAATAATAAATATGATCTAATTTTGACTAATTAATTATTTAAAAAACTTTTTTTCGTTAGTTAATGAATATCTATTTATTATTTAAAATTAATACAAATTAATTGCTTTATTTTTGCTCTAAAATCTTTAGTTAATAATTGTTGCACTTTTGGTAAGTGTATGTTTGGCGACCACACCTCTCCAGCAGCCCATACCCCAACCGCAAGGTTACAATATTAAAACCATAAGTATATTTTATATTATTAAGTAAACGTGTGTTAATTAAGCACATAATCTTTATTATGTAACCTTCAATTAGCTAAGTATTACATAACACAGATAATTGCCTTTATTACTGGTGTTTTGTAGCTTTTAATACAAAAAAAATAATTTAAAATAATCTATTTTTTGTAAAAAAATAATATCATATATTTATTTATAATAATAAAAATTTAATTTTTATATTTTTTTCTGCAACAATACGGCTCTCAAATCAATGCCGACGGTTCGTATCAATTTTTTTTCGATAACAATCAACCAGAGGGTCGACAGTTCAGGGATGAGATCCGCAACAGTGATGGCTTAGTGTACGGCAAATACGGCTATCAGGACCCGTCAGGTAAACTCAGTTTAATTTTATAATAATAAAGAGTGACACTTAAGGTTAGATTTTTTGTCAAATTTGTTCAAAAGTCAGTTATTTTTTTGGGAAAAAAATTAATTTTAAACAAAAATCTTTCACAATGTTATACAGAATAAGCTTTCTTTTCTCTCTTTCTTCTCTCTCTCTCTCTCTCTCTTTCTTTCTCTCTCTCTCTCTCTCTCTCTCTCTCTCTCTCTCTCTCACTCACTCACTCACTCACTCACTCACTCACTCACTCACTCACTCACTCACTCACTCACTCACTCACTCACTCACTCACTCACTCACATATTCACTCATTTAATCAATCAGTGTCTACTCTAATGTCCCGTGACTTAGATCTTCGTGAAATGAATACATAATAAATATTTTTATACATATATTAATGAGATTAAAATAGTACTATTAGTTTTATTTTAGAAAAAAATCTATTTTAAAATAATTATTAGATATTATTTTTTCATACTTTTGTAATCATGATTTTTTAATTTTACTTTTTTTTGGCAATTTTATATTAAATAATGGTTTGGAAAATTTTTAATATATAATTGATTGAATTTTATATTTTTTTTATTTCAATAAATAATTATTTGTTTTTTATAAAAAATATTGTATTGCAAATATTGTAAGGTATTTAAAAAATCAATTAGCTATACTTTACCTAAAATTTTTGTAAATAAAAAAATAAAAGTAATTAATATGTATTTTAAAAGATTTAAAAATTATAATTAATTAGTAATTTATAATAACTACTATTTGTACTAATAGTAAATTACTATTTAAACTGTTCAAGGTGGTCTGCGTATTGTCAAATACACGGCCGGCAAAGATGGTCTAACCTCACAGGTAGACAATAATGTGCCGATAGTTGGACCTCAACCAGTGGTTTGGAATCCCAATGAACCCATATATGTAGAGCCGGCACCACTGACCTATACACCCATCAGAAACGAACCGTTTCTCACGGAAAGAGATCAACAAAGATATCTCAATATTGACGACGCCTTAGTCGAGGCCAGAGAGGAAGGTATGAATTGTTTTGTTTGTTTGCTATGTATTTACTTTCACTATATTAAGTGGAAAAAACCCTTTTAGCACATACTTGAGTGTCGGCGGCTTTTGTTTGATGATAATAACATTAAATATAATAATTGATGTTTTTTTGCAATTATAATATTAATTTTTATTTTTTTATTTCAAAAATATAAACACAGTAGTTATAATTATAATTAATAAACTTTACATAACATAAATATTTTTGGTTAATAAATAATTTTTTAAAAACAAGATTCTTATCTTTTTCTATAGAACTTTAAATATTAATTTATTTGTATTAAGTTTTAATAAATTGATTAAATATATTTAAGATTTAAATGAAAAAAATAAGTTTATTTACTAATATATAAATACAGTATAAACACATTATATAAATATGAAAACTCTAATAAATAACAGTCAATGAAGACGTGAAGCCAGTAGTAAATGATGCGAAAGTAGAGGTCGAGCCTAAGGATGACTCCGATAGCAAATTAGTGGATAACCAGAAACAAGTGGTCAATGAACCGACTGTTTTGTTCAGCTCTGCGGCACTCAAAGGTGTTCAGGACGACGCACAAGACGTGTTCCCGCAAGTGGTCAGTGGTCAGCGACGTCTGGTTGAACCACAATTGGTTGCACAACAGTACGCCATCAAAGGTCGACCATTGCTCAGATCTGTTGTCGGCTATGGACAACAAGTGGTGCCCAAACAACACTCTGTCTACCATACAGTACAACAACAGCAACAACAACAGGGATTACCCATTCATATTGAAGAACAGCGAGTGGTATGCGATTAACATAAGCCCTCTTATAATCTTATATCTGATATTATCTATTACTTTAAATGCCATTTACAGTCCCCTCTCGGTGTTAGAAAGCCAACCATCCAATACCAGATCAGACCAGTTCAACAGCAGGTAATCCAAAGACAACCAGTATTTCAACAACAACAACAAACACAACAGCGACTTCAACCAGCCCTTCCCCGCGAATGGATCCGCAAACCAGTACAACAACAACAACAAGTTCAGACTCCTCTAAGTGGCGTAAAGGGTATCAAAAACTACCAGTACTTTATTCAGCCCTTCTATCCGTCAAATATCGATTACAATCAACAGTCCGTCCTATCAGGTGTTGACCAACAGGTTGTCCAGAGACAACCAGTTGTGGATCAGCAACAGTTTGTACAACAGATTCCTCAAGTGTTTTCACTGACTGAACAACAACAACAACAGCCTTTCATTATCAATCAACGACATGATGCAGCCGTCGATAACAAACTGATAGACCATTCTGGACATGTGGGTCACGACCAACACATCCAACAACACCATCACCAGCAACAACAACAAACAGTACATGAATTACCCAAATCGGATGTCATCACACAGAAACACGTTCGCCAATCGGTTGTACCACAACTACACGACATTAAGGTTGTCATTCAACAACAACAACAACCTCAACAAGTGGGCACTACTGGTGGTCAGCAAATAGTCACCTATCAGATCCCTCAGCAGCAGCAACAACAACAACAACAATACTATATTAGCCAACAACAACCCACACAATATAGCCCACAGCAACAGTCGATCCCAGTCTCTAATATTCAACAGTACTATCAAGTGGTCAGTAATTTTTTATATGATTTATATGAATAAACATTTTTTTTAATTTAAATAAATTATTCACTGTATAGGTCTCGGGTTCCTCTGTTCCCCAATACTTATCAATTGTTGGTCAAAATCCTTCAATTAATGGCCAAAATCCGACAATTGTTAGCCAACCGTTTCAGTACTCAGTCGACGCTCCTGTTCAACAAAGCACACCACAACAAGTTGGCCAACAAGTACCGTCGGTGACATCACTCACTGCTGACCAGGAGGTGCACGTTCAGGGAGGTCTACAAGGAGTACAAAACATAAGAGTGCCGGAAGATTTGTCGGTTTTCATAAATCGCGGACAACCACAACAAGATATCCGTATTAACCCGCTATCAGTTGACCAGAAAGTACAACAACAACAGAGACCGAGTCTATTGATCAACAATTCGGGTGTTAAAAGTGTAATCAATGTTTGAAAATGAAAAATTAGTTGAAAATACTGTAGTATTGTCTTTCAATGGCCTAACGATTAAAGTAATTGTGTTTTTTATTAAATTAAATAAATAACTAAATTTAGTAATTAATCATGTGTTCAATCAAACAAACAAAAATTAATCAAATATTTTTTCATAACTATTGTGTTCACATAAACTAATAATTTTTCAAAAAATGTTCATTTTTTAGTTTATTACTCTAATACTAAAATTTTTGTATATTTTGATTCATATAAAAAACATTTGTTTGTATTGTAGTATTGTTTTAATTTTGTTATTTTCAATGCAAATATAATTAATTGAAAACAAAATGTACGATAAAATGCTCAAATAGTTTGTATAATTTACCATGTACAATTTTTGTATTATTATTTGTAATAATCTAATGTCCAATTATGTTTTGTTATGTTTATTATTATTTTTAAAAATAATAATAACTTTTTTCAAATAAAGTAGTTTTAGCATGATAATTATTGCAATATTTTATTTTAAAACTTTTATAATATTAATATGATATACTTAATTAATTTATTAAAAAAATCAAATATTAACTATTATTACTAATCTTTCCATAAATTGTAGTTAATCTCTGTTAAATGACTGCACTCTAAATATCGGTTATAATTAGATGGGATATACATAGGGTTGGCTTGAATTTCATCAAAATCGGTTACTTTGCACAATAGGTTAGCCAATGATGCCGTGTGTCTGATATTATCCAATTGATCTAAATATATAAATATAAATTAGGAAATAATTTCTATATTATTATTATAATTATTACAGTACTATACTGTATATTAACTAATGAATACCAATGGTAAATGATCCAGCTTGATCACCATGCTCAAAATAAAATCGATCACCAAATTTCAAATGATAAAACTGTATGCCAATCATACAGGCAAATGTCGGTCCAATGTTTGAGCCGTGCATATGTCGTTCCGCGAGACCACCGATTATGAGATCAATGTCTTTATAATCTCTATAAATGTGAGTTTGAAAATAATATTATTTAAATGAGTCAATCATTAGTAATTTATTTCAATATTAATCACTTGTAAACTTGTTTCAATTGTTTAATCAGATTGTCCGGTATATATTGTCTCAGATCATCCCAATGTGTTATCTTATGACCCGTACAATAGTCAACAAAATAAATATAAGCCGGTATGCCATGATCCCTGGCCCGGGATATATCAATGCTAAATAAGTCGACAATTCCGGGAGAGCACAGACGCATTTCGTTATGCTCTCTAACATCGGCAACAAAGTTCAAATCAGTTAACTCCTGTCTATCTTCACATATACCTTTCAATATGCCATTTGCCTGATCAATATATCAATAAAATGGTAATCAACTTTAGACATAACAAGTTAAATTTGTATCTACCTTTCCCTCCCATAGTTGAATTGCTTGATTAAACTCGTATCTCAATGTTATTGAACTGCTTTTTAACGGATTTTTATCAATTACGGGAAATACACTGTTAATGTTTGAATGGCTAAACCGTAGAGCACTGGCCTGAACTTCATTGATCGTATCGGGACTTACATCTGGATTATACTCACTATACTCTCCGCGAGGCTTAACGTTAAGATTAAAATAATTCATGAGATCTTTGTTAAGAATTGATGGCAAATATTCATCAAAATTAATGAAATTATATTCAGCTTCTAATAGACGTCTATTGTTAAAAATGACAAAAAAAAAATAATCAATTTATTATAAATTTGATGAAATAAATATTAAAATCAAATATTTCTTTTTATGTAAACTTTCAAAACCTGGCCTCTCTGTACAAAACATCATCAGTCCAATGAGGGTTGACTTTAGCCAAACCATTGCAATGTTGATTATGTCTGATAACAAATGTCAAAGTAATGGTCGCTATTAATGGTTGTTGATTACCACGCATACCGTCACCGTTTTTGAAACAGTTAAGCCACGGCCGGTCAGGTTTAACACTACACGTACGACCTGAATCGTAGTGGTCCTGATCGCCGGGCAATACAACCATTGGATGTATAGGCGATTTAGATGTCAACGATTTATTTGTTAATAATTTACCTAGAATCAATTACATAGATTGAGATGCATATATAAATAGATAACTGTATAATAAATATATAAACAAACCTTTTTCAAATGTCCTCAATTTAATTGCCTGTCTTTCCTCAAAACCGTAAACCATCGATAAATCTAAATAAGATGTTTGTGCATTCATTTGTTCACGGGCACCTGGATCAATTTTCAATTAAAATATAAATTACTAAAAATTTTAAAAAATAACAACTAATTAATAACAAAATTTTCTAATTATTTTACACAAACATACACTCTGTCGTGTGTTTAAATTGAAATAGTCAACTACAGGGTATATAAAATAATATTAAAAATTAATACCTAATCTACATGTGTTGCAAGCCGTAGATCGGGATAAATCCTTACAGGTCTGGTTGTATGCAATACTCCATCGATCGGGCGGTAAATATGATTTCAGACATTCGGGATGCTCTGAGTTTGGTGGACAACATTTAACTGTATTACCCAAATATTGCAAAGTTTTGACCATATCGTGTGCTATTAACTGTCCCCAAACCATTTGCATTGAGCTCCGGTATCGGTCATACACATCATATTCGTGTCCTATGGTTGTACTAATGAAACGAGCGATAGGTAGTGGACTGCCATCGCTGGTCAATCGTTGGCCGCTAACACCGTCACTATAGTCCGGTGGCAATAGTCGTCTCTGACAATGGAAAGCTGATCCCCAATTGGTTTGCTTCAAGTTATTACATTTACCATCGATTTGTCGATATTTATAATCAGGATTACATCGGACACTATCACTGATGTCTCGGTTCATATCACAGTACTGGCCATTATTTGTCACACGTTTTGGTGTATTTTTTAGTGAGAAATTTATTTCCGATTCAAATTTGTTTATACATTTGCTGAGAGAGAGAGAGAGAGAGAGAGAGAGAGAGAGAGAGAGAGAGATATTTTACTATTAAAAAACGTCTCAAAATTTCTTTTAATAAATCAAACTAACAGTTGTATAAGAGTATACAATAAGTGTAATAGTTTTTAAAGTATTATACTGTATATAGAAAAGAAAACTTACAGTTGTGTCAACTTTTTGGTAACAATTTCGTTGAATTTTGCTATAATGTTAGCCTTGTATATGAAAGCACTAAATAGTTTAGAGTTTGGACTACTTTTTAAAAAGTTTTCATCAAATTTTAATAAACTATTGATTTCTTCGTCGGCCACTTGAATGGCTTCATTAATATCTTTATCGGTTATATCAGATGTCCGTCCCATTTGTTTTGAACAGTTTACTGAAAACAGATTGTCCCGTAAATATTGTGAATAAATTTTCGATAATTTTCCAGAATATTCTCTACGATAATCATATGTTTCTATAGTATGTAAATGTTCATCAAAAACACTGTGATATAATTTATCATTATCATCACAATTGATAGATAAAAATGTTAATAATGTTAAATAAATACTAAATAACATTTTATTTATTTCTTTACTTTAAACAATATGATGCAAATAGTCTTTAAAAATTGTAATTAATTAATTAAATCAATAATTGAGAAAAATTATAAATAGTTATCTTATTTAATTAACTTAAGTTTAAATCTAATATATTAATTATAAATATTTGTTCTATTAGTTAGCCTTATTATATATCATAATGTATGTCTAAAATGATTATGAAATTTTTATAATAATATGCATGTAATATATTAATATAATGATTTTAACTTTTTTAAAATTTCAAACAACTCAGATTGAACTTGAAATAAAAAGTTTAATGATATTATAAATTAAAATTACTTTTATTTTTGCAAATTCGCATAAAATATATGATTTTTAAGAAATAAATAATATAAATGAAATGACAAAAATATAATTTTGTAAAAGTTAGAATAACAAGTTAAAAATTATATTAATTATTTAACTTAATTAGTTGATAAAATAAAATACCAATAACTGTTATAGCAGTTTATGTTTATTGGAAAAAAATAAAATCTTAAAATCTTGTTTTGTTAAGTTTATTTTTTGAAATAATAGTAATTTTTCGATTATAGTATTTTTTAGCATGATAAATAATACATTTATTTATTTATATTTAGTGATGTTCAATTGGATGCTTAAATTTGATTGATTAAAAATTCATATATTAACTACATATGTATTATATATGTTGATCTTTCCATAACCTATAGTTAATTTCTGATAAATGACTGCAATGTATATATCGGTTATAATTAGATGGGATATACATAGGGTTGACTTGAATTTCGTCAAAATCAGTTACTTTGCACAATAGGTTAGCCAATGATGCCGTGTGTTTGATATTATCCAATTGATCTAAATATATAAATATAAATTAGGAAATAATTTCTATATTATTATTATTATTACAGTACTATACTGTATATTAACTAATCAATACCAATGGTAAATGATCCAGCTTGATCACCATGCTCAAAATAGAATCGATCACCAAATTTCAAGTGATAAAATTGTATGCCTATCATACAGGCAAATGTCGGTCCAATGTTTGAGCCATTCATAAGCCGTTCCGCAAGACCACCAATTATGAGATCAATATCCTTATAATCTCTAAAATATTGTTTTTTAATATATAATTTCAATATATTATTTATTAGTAAATTATTTTTCACTGTTTAATTTACTTGTAAACTTGTTTTAATTTTTCAATTACATTGTCCGGTATATATTGTCTCAAGTCATCCCAACACGTTATCTTATGACCCGTACAATAGTCAACAAAGTATATATATGCCGGTATCCCGTGATCCCGGGCCCGCAATATGTCAATACTAAATAAGTCAACAATTTTGGGCGCGCACTGAGAGATTAGGTTAAATTCTCTGACGTCGGCAACAAAATTCAAATCAGTCAACTCCTGTCTGTCTTCACATAAACCTTTTAATATACCATTTGTCTGATTAATATATTAGACAAAAATGATTGATTATATTCATAATTGAGTTTTAAAAAAACATAAAAATCAGATAATTGTTTAAAATCTACCTTTCCCTCCCATAGTTGAATTGCTTGTCTGAACTCATATCGCAATGTTATTGAACTGCTTTTTAGAGGATTTTTATCAATTATGGGAAATACACTGTTAATGTTTGAATGGCTAAACCGTAGAGCACCGGCTTGTACTTCATTGATCACATCGGGACTAACAACGGGATTGTATTCACTATACTCTCCGTGCGGTTTAACATTGAGATTGAAATAATTCATGAGATCTTTGTTAAGAATTGATGGCAAATATTCATAAAAAATAATAAAATTATATTCAGCTTCTAATAGACGTCTATTTTTAGAGAAAATGAATGACACATTTATATAAATTATATAAAATAAATAAATATATTTTTTTTTGTATAAAGTCATACCTGGCCTCTCTGTACAAAACATCGTCAGTCCAGTGGGGGTTGACTTTAGCCAAACCATCGCAATGTTGATTATGTCTGATAACAAATGTCGAAATAATGGTCGCTATTAGTGGCTGTTGATTGCTACGCATACCGTCACCGCTTTTGAAACACTTAAGCAATGGCCGGTCAGCTTTAAAATTACATGTCGTACGTATGTCGTAGATGTCCTGGTCGTCGGGCAATTCAACCATCGGAGGTATAGGCGTTTCAGATGTCAACGATTTATTTGTTATTAATTTACCTAAAAGTCAAAAACATAAATTGAGATAATACTGTATGTCTGTAATATTATATATACATTCTATAGGATAAACTTTATATGTTATATCATATAATTCAAATTTTTGATCCATTTTTTATACTAAAAATTGTATTTAATATAATTGTACATTTAATTGGTTTAATTTGTAAAAACTATTAATACACTAATTATGGTTAATAAACTTCTATTGATACTCATTTGTTTGATAATTTACAGTACTTGGTATATAATCAATGGTTACAACGATAGAGTTAAATAAATTTAAATTATTATATTAATTGTGAAGTTAGTTTGCGGTCAATTGTAAATATAAAAATAAATTTATGACCAAATGATTTGGACAAAAATAAGTTAAAATTAGACCCAATAACATATAGACAGTTATATTTAAATTAAATACATAAACAAACCTTTTTCAAATGTCCTCAATTTGATTGCCTGTCTTTCCTCAAAACCGTATATCATTGATAAATCTAAATAAGCTGTTTGTGCATTCATTTGTTCACGAGTACCTGGATCAAAATATCAATATATGTTACAAAAATAAAGATATATTAATAATGTGTCTTAAAATTAGTTATTATTTTTAATGTATATCTTTATAATTAATTTATAAAAAATTATAAATTTTTTGTTTCTGTTAAACAATTTGATAGATTAGACAAAATCTATTACTTGTTTAAAGTCATACCTAACCGACATGTGTTGCAAGCCGTCGATCGAGGAAATGACATACAGCTCTGGTTGTATGCAATAGTCAATTGTTCGGGCGGTAGATATGATTGCATACATTCGGGATGTAATGGTTTTGGTGGACAACAGCCTACTGTATTACCCATATATTGCAATGTTTTGACCATATCGTGAACAACTAACTGTCCCCAAAGCATTTGCATGGAATTACGGTGTCGATCGTAAACATCAAATTCGTTAGTGATTGTAGTGCTAATAAAACGAGCGATTGGTAGTGGACTGCCATCGCTGGCCAACCGTTGGCCACTAACACCGTCACTATAATCAGGTGGCAATAGTCGTCTCTGGCAATGGAAAGCCGATCCCCAATTGGTTTGCTTCAAGTTATTGCATTTACCATCGATTTGTCGATATTTATAATTAGGATTACATCGGACACCACCACTACTACTATCACTGACGTCTCGGTTCATATCACAGTACTGGCCATTATTTGTCACATGTTTTGGTGTATTTTTTATGAGAAAATTTAATTCCGATTCATATTTGTTTATACATTTGCTGTCAGATATTATTAAATATAATTATTTTGTTTAATAAAAATTGTTTTAAAGTATTATACTTTATATAGAAAAGAAAACTTACAGTTGTGTCAACTTTTTGGTAACAATTTCATTGAATTTTGTTATAATATTAGCCTTGTATATGAAAGCACTGAATTTTTTAGAGTCTGGACTACTTTTTAAAAAGTTTTCATCAATTTTTAATAAACTATTGATATCTTCGTCGGCCACTTGAATGGCTTCAATAATATCATCGTCGGTAATATCGGATGTCCGTCCCGTTTGTTTTGAACAGTTAACCAAAAACGGGTTGTTTTGTAAATATTGTGAATAAATTTGCGATAATTTTCCAGAATATTCTCTTTGATAATCATATGTTTCAAATGAATGTGAGTGTAAATGTTTATCAAAAACACTGTAATATAATTTATTATTATCATCACAATTGATAGATTTGTTGATTAAAAATGTTAATAATGTTAAATAAATGACTGATATCATAGTTTTTTTAACAAAAACTTTTAGTTATGCCTATTATAGTAATTAAGGTATAAATTGTGATTTATTAATGATTTATATCATATAAAATAAAAAACTATTACTATTATTAATTAAACATAGTTTAATCAAACAGTCTTATACTTGTAATTCTATCTATTAATATATACAGAAGAGTATAGTTCAAAAAGCATCAAGTACAATTGTACAAAAATAATCCAGATAATTTATATTTTATAGTATTAATATATGGATGATTTTTTAATCATTTATATTTTTCTATAAAACATAATGATTTAAAACATCGTAAATCTGGTCATAAATAATGATGCACTTGAAATAAATTGTGTAATAGTGTTAGATTAAAAAATATACTTTTTTCAAAATTAAAAAAATATAAATGATTTTTAAGTTTTTAAATTATACTAATACAGTTAGCATTTTATATACTAGATTATATATGGTAATATCTAAAAATATATTTTTATATATCTATTTTAAAGATAAAAAGTTATAATAATTAATTAATTAACTAAAATAATACTAAATTAATAATAAATTAAAAATTTATTTTTATTACAAAAATAACAAACTTAAATTAATTTCAAGGTTAAAATTGTGTTTAATTAAATTTTATTATCAAATTAATTTTTTAAAGTTCAAAGATCGCATTATCTGTTTTATATTGATTATAGCATAGCATGTGTTAAATTTTTTGGTAGTTTATAAAATACTACAATTTAATATAATTTGATTAGAAAATATTAGAAAAGAAAAATAAATTTTTAAAAAAATATGAAACTTTTTATGTGTTTATGTTTTATTACAATTGGTATACTTTAAATATTTATTTTTTGATAAAATTTATTAATTCATATTAATCTACTGTAATTTGATTAGCACTGGTAGCCGGCAATGATGACAACTCAGAAACAATACACGAATCTCATTACGAATCGCATTTAATGCCAGAAAACGCTGATATTATTAGCGACCAAAAGGTTATCATTGAAAAACATACCGACACTAACAATGATGTCGATAGCGATGGCATTGAAAATATGGGTAAAAAATAAATTATAAAAATAATAATTAATAATAATTTTTAAAAATTAACTATATTTAAAAATTATTTGCATTTAGTAAAATGTCCCCGGGGTAGATGTCCGTCGGGTAATCGCCCGGGCTCGTGGTCATCGGGTCAACAACAAAGTATTCAATTTGGTCCAGGTGCATCTATTTCTGTTAACCAAATGCAACAAAGTGGATAATCAGCTAAATTATTATTATAAAATAATTTTTAAATTATATATTTTTATACTTTGTTTAAATCCATTTACTGTATATTATAAATTATTTTACTAATTTTTAAATAAACAATTTGTATGTAAACTTTATATTTAAAAAAATAATGTGCAATTGAGTAATTTTATTGTATAACCTAAATTTTATTGACAAATAATATATATATATATAGACTAAATTTTTGTTATATACGGTAAATATAATACTAAATCTAAATTTTGTAATTTGTGTAAAAATAAAAATTTTATTCAAAATGAATAAAAATATTTTATTGATAATAACACTGTCATTGGTTTTTATTATTCGTATGTAATTATAAGTTATAGTTCTAATAAAATGTTTGATTATAAATATATATAAATATTTTTTTAATTAAAAATTTTTTTAGATTGTGATGATGTTGATCATCTAAATGAAATTACCGAAAATTTACCCGATTATATAAAACGGGAATTAGATAAACATCCCGATCTTACGCCAGCACAACATCAAGTGTTGATTAAGTTCATCAATCTATTTAAAGAGTATGGCCTGGATGATTTATTATATAAACATAATATATTACATAAGCAAATATGAGTTTTTTGTAAAACATATGTATACTGTATAATAACTTTTGTTATTTAAAAAAAAATTAAATTATTTATTAAACTTATTATTTTATTATAACTTTAAAGTTTCATTTATCCTATTATAAAAATTTTAGTTAATAATTTTAATAATAACTATACTATATTGTACTAAAATAAATATATCGGTTTAATTTTTCAATAAAGTACAGTACTATATTGTATTGTATTGTATTGTATAGTACATTTGTTACATTATTATAAAATTGATATAATTGTATATGACATTTTTTAAATATGATTTTGATTACAAATATTATACAAACATATGATTTATTTGTTTAATAATGAAAATTAAATCTATTAAACAATTTACATCTACAATACAAAGAAAATTATATTATATAAGTTATTTTTATAATAAATAAAATTTATGTACATATTTACATAAATTTATATATTTAATATTATTTATTTCACAAAAATCACTTACAACTGTGCAAATAAAAGTTAATCATAATAATTGATTTATTTAATTTTAAAAAGTACTTTAACAGTTATTTATTAGGTGATAATTTATTGGTATTTAAAAGAAAAAAATTATTACTTGATCTAGGTTATAATATTGCTAAAAAATGATTAAACCAATAATTCAATTATATTTTTTATTAATTATAATATGTTTGTTTGTGACCATACAATATACTATAGCCCCGAGTTTACTATACGATAGGCGACTAATTAATAAGTTTTGCAGTAAATCTGGTACAGACTCGTCATCTATAACTACATCATTGATAACTTGTGTCCCATCCCTGTCCGATGAGGTAATGTTTCAATTAATAAATTCAATAACAATTTATTAAGTATTTTATTAGCTAAAGACTATGGCAATGAAATGTGTATCAAATCCAACAGATTTATTAACATCAGTATGTGATTCATCAAAGCGGACTCAGGTATGTCTAATTGAATGTAATACCTAATACTATAATATATTTGAATTAATAACTATATATTCAAAATTAAATATTTACTAAATTAGCTAAATAAATGTATAAATACTGAAACGGGTAAAATAAAAGATAAATCAGCAAAACAATCACTTAGAAAATCAGCCCGTACACTCAAGGTTAGTTTATTTAAGCAATTTTTAAAAAAATAATTATCTTTAAATATATATATTTTAATTTAATTGATTTTTCTTAGAAATGTTTGCAAGATCTCAAAACATAATAACTACCATTTATTTAAAAAAAAATTGAAAATTTATTATTTTAACATTTTATTATATGTCAAATTAAATTTCTAAAATATATAATTATTAAATGTATATGTATAACATACAGTGTAATAGCCTAAATTTAATTAAACTAGTTAAGTGCAAACCCCAATTATTCAACACGTGTTAATTATAATTAGTTGACTAAATTAGTAAATTTTTAAAATAAACTTTAAATGATTTTATTAAATAAAAAATATAAACATATTTAATAAAAACTTTTATCCGAAAAAAATTAATAAAAATGAAATATATTAATCATGTTATAATTTTTATATTTTTATCAACATATATTATTATAATTAATTCAAGTAAGTATTTAATAACTATTTATAAATCAAAAAGGTAAATTATAATAAAATTAAAATGTAAGCAAAAATATTCATATAATAATTAATAAATTGCATTGAATTTTATTAATTATAAAATACAATATTAATAATAAATTGTATAAAAACTTAACTAATAATAATTATCTACAGTTCGCGATAAAGAGGATAACAACAACAATAACACCAATGATTTAATGACTAGAAGTGGACGTAAAGTGAAAAACTCAAAGGCGTCTAAAGATATTCGTTGGAATCATAAACGAGGAAATAAGGGTAAAGGACATAGAGATAGGGATAGGGATAGGGGTCATGGAAAGGGTGGTCATAATCATAAACATGGTAAACAACATGGATCAACTGGCACTGGTGGCAATGGACCAACATTTACTAAACCAGTTAACAATGTTGGTACATTTAATCAAGGTAATACATATTATTTTTATGCCATTTTTTCTATTAAAATGTAAGAAATATATTATTTTATTTATTATTTATTTGTTTATGCAATCTTAATAGCACCTGGTCCAGTTATTGATTTAGGTGTAGACAGTAACGGCAATCTGAGGCCACTTGGGTTTTCCGGTATTAATACAAGTAATGTTATGGTTAAAGATCCAAAAGGTTATACACTTCCCTGGAATGAGTATAATAAACCCAATTATGTCAATACTAACCCTAGTAGTGGTGGTTTTGCTAATGGATTATACGATATGACAGGCAATGATAATTTAAATATATCGGTTTCATTGGGTATGTCTAGTAAATAAAAAACTAATAAAAATTATCTTAAATTCTACTAATATTTATAACAATATTTAATACTCTATATAATAATAATTGTTAATAAATATTTTGTTTATTATAATTATGATTATTATTAATTTTAGTGTTTTATATATTCAATATTTATTTTATTCGTGTGAGTCTCAAAATTTTTTTCAATACTATTATTTAATATAATTATAGATAATGTCATTAATAATAATAACAATAATAACTATAACAATGATAATAATAATGATGACGACGACGACTACGATGATGTCGATGAATATAAAAGTAAAATAAAAAGGAGAATATATAGAATTTAAATTTAATTATTTATATATTTATTATTATTATTATTAAATTATTTTGTATATACTGTTTGTATAATATAATAAAAATTTAGTTAAAAATGTATACATTTTTATAAAAATCAAATTCGTTAATCATTAATAATCATTAATAATAAAAAAAATCAATTAAAAATATAAAGTCTGATTGAATAATTCTATTGAAATTATTGATTGTATTTATAAAAACAAATGTAAATTTGTTAGATTTACATTTATAATTAAAAAAATTAAAGTCAACAATATTTCGTGATCCAAATGAACAAACATTTTATTTATAATTAAAAAAACTGTAAATACAATTGATTACATAATAAATACATATAGATATTTAGTATAATATTTTAAACACTATTTTATTATTAACAAAATTTATTTTTAATTTAAATGTCTAGAAATTAAAAAAATCTAATATAATAAGCTATAAATCAATTATTATTATTGATATTATTATGGATAAACAAAAAACAATTATCTTGATTGGTTTGTTGACTGTATTTACACTGTATATTATGGTCCAAATGGTATCGACCGCTACAACCTATCAACCGGCCACCGAACTGAGCACATGGACCGAAGTGTCCACCGACGGTAGTGGCAATAAATTTGTATTAGTCTATGAAGAGATCATACAAATTAGCGAAATCATGGAAGAGATATTGAGCGCCGGTATAACCAGTGGCCAGGGAGGCAAATGTACTAAACAAAAGTGTACGTATAGTCTGAAAAAATTGACAGATATTTTCTGGAAATTATATCAGGAAAACCCTGTCCGACACGCGGCCTGTTTGGCAGCACTCGACCCATTCATACTACACAATCTGAATGTTACTAAAAAGAAATAGTTATTTAAATATTAATATTGTTTTACATTAATATCTAAATTATATATTTTATATGAATAAAACGTTTGCAACCAAATAATTTGTAATTACAAATTTTATTTATATAATTTTCAAATAAAAATAAAATTCTCATTTAAAATAATGTACACTTTATTTTAAAATATTTGCTAAAACAATAAAATATTAAAAACTTGTAACATAAGTATATTTTTATAAATAAATTTATTATTATTGTTTTATCAAACAATAAATCTATTATATTAAGTAGATTTAATTTCTAATAAATAATTCACACTAAAACTTAAGTTTAAATATAATTAAGTTTTATTATATAAAATATTATAAACTTAAATTTAGGTTTATTCAAATAAAGGACTAAATATTTTTTATGCAAATGAATAAACATTAATAAAGTATAGATTATTATTATTATTGTTTAAAAAAGTACTCATAGACTCAAATATCATATTATATTAATAGTATAAACGATTAATTAATATTTATACATCAGTATATAATCTATAATATAATTTCATGAGAAAAATGTTAAATGATTAATGTATTTATTAATCTTAATTTTAGTAATTAGTTAATTTAACAAGTAATTTAAATTATTTAAAAATCTATAAAATAAATACTATATAATTGTTAAATATATATTTTCAAACTATATCAACATGGTTAAATTAGGAAAATTAATTATGTTGATAGTTGTAAATCTATTAGGACTATACATTGCCTATACATCATCGGCCGGTACAACCTATCAACCGGCTACTGAATTGAGCACCTGGTCAACAGTGACCACCAATGATCAAGGTCAAACAATAATTGTTTACTACACAGAGCGCATACAAGTTAGTCAAGTAATGAGAGCCGTATTGAGTGCCTCCATAACCGGTGGACAGGGAGGCAAGTGTACTAAACAACGGTGTTCGTTAAGTTTAAAAAAATTGACCGACACTTTCTGGCAACTATATCAGCAAAGCCCTGAACGACACGCGGCCTGTTTGGCAGCACTCGACCCGTTCATATTACTCAATATGAATGTTACTAAATAATTATTAACACAACAATGTTTTTTTTTACCACTGTATACATTATAATGACGTTAATTAATTAATTAAAAAATTATTGCAACCAAATATTGTAATCAAGTTTTTTTTATTATAAAATTTATTTGTTTTAATTATTGCTCAACATATTAGTAAATTATCTATTATTACATTTTTAAAAAATAGATTATAAAATATAGAAATAACTCAATATAAACAAAATATATGAATGAATTATTTATTTAATAAAAATATTTTTAATATTTATGTATTAATATATTTACAATTTTGTAAGTATAATAAAAGTAAATCATGTATATAATACTAGATTAAAAAATTATAAATTATTTTTTAAAAGCGATTAACAAAATCAAAATATAAGTATAAGTATAAGGTATATATGAGATAAACAAATAATAAGCAAATAATAGCTAAATAGTATATACATTATAAATAAAAATATTATTTGATATAAACAAAATTATTTGTCAATTGTGAGGTTAAGTATCAATTGTGCACATGTATGTATGATTTTATTTAGCTACTAGCCCTAACTCCGTCACCTGACTGCCGACCCAATGAGGCCGCCTTAAGTCTGGCCACTGGACTTAATATTCCTCTGCCTGAGTACACTACAGGTGCTCTTCTAGCTATAGGTAATAATGGAGTTGGCGCTTCGTAATGGGATGATACCGGTGCGACAGGTGTATCATAAATATATGCAGGTGCTACGGCTGGTATTGAGTGAACCACACTATCAACTACAGGCTCTGGAGATTCTACTGCCGAAGCCCTATGAACTATGCTTTCGACCACTGGTGCTACCGGTGCCGCGTGTATATGATTATCAACTAAGTGGTGATCTGGTGCTCTATGCAGAACACTGTCGACCACTGTTGGTGTATGTATGTGTCGATCATTAGTGGTTAGTGTTATCGGTTTGTCGGGTAAATTATGGGTATTGATGAGCACAGTAGGCGATGGTGTTGCGCGATGTACTATACTTTCCACCACTGGCTGTACGGCAGGTGCACTGTGTACACGATGGCTACGGTAATGATTATTATGATGATAATGGTTCTGGTGTCGAGCAGACACTGAAGGGCTCCGGGATGATAGCGATGTTCTCTCACCGTAGTCACGACCAGCTAAATAAAGTCGTGAGTTTTCGTTACCCTGTTCCCTATAATATTGTGTCAAACGTGGCCTACGTATAGAACCGGCAGGTTTTAGTGTCGGTGTTATTGGCTTTCGATAGAAATCCCGAGAGTAGGCGGGTTTATATGAAGTACGCGGTTCACTGCTATAACGGTCGATAGAGTTTATAGATGGTTCGGGTAGTTTAGGCACTAATATGGGTAAAAATATTGTGTTTTTTATAAGGAAAGAGTGTTTAAATGAATATATCATACATTTTGGTTTCTGTTGTGCAGTACTCTCACCACTGGCCGTATCGCTAATTATTTCAAAACCTTTGGGACCGGACTTGTAGTAAACGAGCCGTAATTTACCATTTGGATCGGTATAACCATATCGACCTCTAACATCACCATTCACATCCTTGTTTTCCTGGTGAAACTGGTGGGCACCAAATAGACCCGTATCGTAGCCATAGTTATATGTCCCGGAGTCGGTCTGCGAGTGATAGTGAACCGGTTGGTGTATATAGTCCTCGGCCCCGACACTATACATCAATAGCACAATAGTTACTATTGATGATAACATTATTAATTATTATTTAAACCTATAAGCAAATTATATTAATTAAATTAATAAAAAATAATTATTATTTTCAATCTAAAAAATGTTTTAATCGACATTCAAAATTAAATTAAATTATAGATTATAATTGAAAATTAATAAATTTGGAAATTTTTGCTTAACATTAATTAGATTAAATATTTATTTTACAAATTGTAATTTTCGAATAAGTGTTAATAAATAAAACAAATATTTTATTTTTTTATTAACGACAATTTAGATAAAATAAAAAAAATCAAATAAGTAATAAATAAAAATTGATAATAAAGTTACAAATATTTTTTTGCTTACTTTAAATAATAAAAGAAATGTTTTTCATGAAATAGTTATAAAACACTTTAATAACTTTTACTCATAAAATATATAGTTATATATATTTATTATTGATTAGAGTTTATAAAATTTAAAGCACATAATCAGTAAAAGCCATTAAAATGAATTGAAATATCTTTGAATAGAGACACTAGTGATAGTAAAGCCTTCAAAACTATATAATAATCATCTTTTATTTTTGTAAACCTATTAAAAAAGTACAGTATCTTTAGTTTTGAATTTTAAATATATATATTTTTTTTTGTTTCAAATGTCGAGATAACAGACACACACACACAAAACGCACGGCTATTTGAAAGACTATTCCCACAAATTAGAAAAGTTGTAATAACTTTGTGTACATTAAGTGGGCGATTGTGTGTGTTATTCATGTTTTTTTTAAATAGTATTAGTGTTTTAGGTAACTAATGTTAAGTTTGTTTTTTCAGTGTCGCTCAAAAATATTATTATTATAAACAGTATTACTTTATAAACAATATACATAAGTAGTATAAGATTTGTAGTACAATATTTTATATATACTGTATATAAATTATTGTATATCTATTATATATTACATTTTTACTATATTATACCAATACGATACTATATTTAAAAAATATTATAATAAATATATTATTATTTTTTATTTTTAGAGAGATAGGGTGTCTCTCATTTCATTCATCTTACTATTCAATAACCGTTTCAATGTTACGGAAAAGTTATTTGAAAATTAATTAACTAAATTGAAAGTGAAGTTTTTTTAAACGCTTATGACTATTATTGTCTTAAAATTTACGGTTTCATTAACTTTTCATAAGTTAGTTGTTTTTATTTTTGTTTTAATATTTCATGTCATAAGAATATAATTAATGATTTTATTATTTAAAAAACATTTACTAAACATTTATTTATGCATATTATTTTTTAAAATCCTATTTATTCGTTTTTAATAAATAGTTAATTTTAAAAACAAAAAATTTTTAGCACAAATAAAAAAAAGTACAAAAATTTCCAAAATTAAAATCATCTCTAATTTATACTATTATTTGTAATTATATAAATTAGGTATTGTATAACATATTGTATTATATTAAACTTAATAAAACTAAAACTAATTCATTTATGATAATTATATGTTGATATAATTTAATTAGCTATAATACTATATAAATAAAATAAAAATCTTTATATAATTTGCATATTAAATAATATGTTTAACAATTTATATAATATATTTTGACCAAAACTGTTTTGCAAACACTGACTAATAGTTAGTTTAGTTACAGTATGTTGAGGTTGGGAGGGATGTGTGTGTGTGCTGTGGGATGTCATATATGTATGTTTTTAATGCCATTAATCCTTGCGATTAGTAATACCAACACTTGAATAATTTGATTTATTTTCATATCAATATGCAATACATGCATATGTATTATTACAAACTGTACTTTACAGTACATTATATGTATGGTACTGTTGTGTTGATAACTTGAGATGATATGCATAAGTGTTTTCATGTGGTTTAAAGTAACAATTTTTTTTATATTACTATACTTTAAGTTGTTTACATAATTATGTAATATATTTTAAAATATTCTCTAATAATTAATTATTCAACAGTTTTAAAAATAAATAAATAAATATATATTATTTAATATAACACAAAAAATACAGTATTTAACTCTAGTTATAGTCAAGTAGGTTATTGTAATAAGTTTTTAAATGACAAAAAAAATCTAAAAGTTTTTTGTTGTTTATATTTTATTGTATGATTATTATTTTATTAAGTAATAATAAAAACTTTATTTGTCTAAAATTTATTTCCTCTCTCTCTCTCTCTCTCTCTCTCTCTCTCTCTCTCTCTCTCTCTCTCTCTCTCTCTCTCTCTCTCTCTTTATATATATATATATATATGTTTTAAATTATTTACAATACATTATTAGAAATAAATAATTGTTTTACAATAATTGTTAATTACAATATTTAAAGCAATATATTGTTTAATGTTAACAACTAACTAATAATTAACTCGTATTTACAATAATATTTCATATGAATTTTTTTGTTATAAAATTAAATTTCCAAATATAAATTGAATTTTGGATTTTTTCCACTGTTGCCCTTCAATAGCCATAAATGTAATATACATTTAATACTTTAAAATAGCATTACATTAGCATTACTTTAGCATTACTTTAAACTTAACTTATATGAAATCTTCTCAAAAATTTTCATACTATTCTCAATAATTATAACTATTTATATTTGAAATGTACTGATCAATCATCACTGTATATATAATTTTGAACAAAAATAGTTTGAATTTTATTGTATCATACAATTTGTATTCATATAGACATTTCAGTGACAAACCTAATTTAGTTATATCAATGATTTGTATGTATGTATGTGTGTGTGTTTAAATACAGTACATGTATATGTATGTACAGCATATGTGTTAAAATATGTATAACTAAGTTTTTGTATCAATTTTATATGTGGGTGTATTAACTCACAATTGGTTATAATATTAAAGTAATTGTATTACGTATAAATACAATTATATTTATATATACACTATTATTTGGATATATCATCTAAAGTATTTTTAATAAAATTGAAAAAATTAATTTATTTTTAATTACTATTATACTGTACAGTCTATTTGATAAAAATAAAAAACATTTTTAAATGAAATGATTTCACAAATTATAAGCGTTATTTACTATATAAGCAATAGTATAAACGAAAATTAATTAAACTAAAAATAAATTGATTTAAAGAATTATTATTTTTAAATTAAAATTAATTTTTAAAAAACAATAAAATACTGTATAACTTGTTATTTAAATATTTGACTCCTTGACTATCACACCGACTTTAAGTCAATCAAACTATATTTAATAAGACAGCTGTTATTATAATAGGTATTATGAAAACAATTTTATGTCAAGGTTTTACACTGTTATCATGACTAACAATATTATAATTGTTGTGATCATATTTAGTATTCAATTTGTTATTTTATAAAAAAATAATAATATAAAAAACATTTTATTTGATTTTGTATTTTGCAATTAATTAATCACATATATAATAATATGATTATACTAGTTATACGGTATTAATAGTGGTATTAATTTTGTGGTCAATAAATATATTTTTAAAATAGTGTAAAAATTTTAAAAAAATAAAACTATTAACTTATAATATTATTGCTATTGAATAGTTATAATATAACTGTATTTAGTTTTTATGTTCTTCAATATTTTAATTTACTTTTTTATGATTGTATTTTAGATATAACAAAAAAATACAATATATAATTTTTCTGAATAAGTTTAAATAATTAATTTTATTATTTAAGTAAATATCATTGAACTTAAAAATTTTACCACATATTTAATATTATTCATTGCTATTCACACAAATAATAAGCTGATTATCAAGTTTAGAGATTAGAGCACAAGTTTTAATTGACATTTTATTTTTATAGACAAAATAAAATCAATTTTTTTATGTGAATTTGCTAATAGTTTAATTGATTTTTTTACAGTTATAATACTGTAATTTATGGATCCATTAAAATATACTTTAATATGAATTTTCACATTAAAATGGTAATAAAGTTTCTGATAATAGGATTAAATTTTAATAATATTATTTTTATGGGAAAACTAAATTGATTTTTTAAACAAACAAATGGATATTATTTTTTACTTTTATAATGTTTCTAACACTGAGAAGACTTAGTTTATATAACACTTTTTATTTTAAAAATCTGTATATTTCACAACTTTTTTAAATAAAATAATATTATTAATATTTACTTAATAAGATTTTATTTTTTATTTTATTGAATAAATAACAAATAATAATAATAATAAAAAAGATACTTTTTTAAAATTATTTTTACATTTAATATTAAATCTATTTAATTAATTTTCTGTTTTTTTTGTGAAAATTGTTGTTTAATTTTTAGTTGCAAGCAACTTTTTCCATGGCTTTATGGAAACATAACTATAATAAAGTTGTAATTATAAAGCAAACAAAAAATATTAAATTAATTTTATTGTTAAAAATTTTGTTTTTTTAAAAATAAACAAAAATTTGATACCATTTTCTGTTTTGGCAACTCTTTGATGGCTTCGTTGTTGTTCTGGTATTTGGCTTTCAAACCTTTTTTCTCTTTTATAGTTATGGCTTCAATACAGTCGAGCCACCTGTCCTTCATATCGTTACACTTGGCCTTACGTTCCTTATTACAGGGGCCCTCCTTTTTGAACAATTCACGTCTACAGGCAATTACAGGATCCGTACCCTAATTTATTATTTATTTATTTTTAATTATTATATTTAAATTTTTATAAATCATAAAATTTTAATTACAAACTCCCAGGTGCTCATCATTACACACTCCTCGAGATCGGTTAGCACAAGCATTTGAAACTCTAAATATATATATTTTTAAAAAATTTATAAATAGATAAAATTATTATTAATTTATTATACCTGTCGGACAACAACTTTTTTTGATTAATTTATTAGTTTTCTGTTCGAGATCTTGTTCATCGCTTACTTTACTTTTACAATAATTTAAATCAATAAATAGATAACTAATTATTAATAATATCATTAATAAGTTATTATTATTATTTACTAAATAAGCCATTTCTTTAAAAAATAAAATAAAAATACAATTAAAAAAACTATTATTATGTTAAATATGACAGATCTTTAGCAAACTTAATATTGCTATATGTTTATTGAATTTTTTAAAATTTAATAGCTATAAAAATTCAATATGAATAAATATATTATATGCACCTAATATATGATATTACTATTAATTTTACAATTAAAATTTATAATATTTATCATTGTATTATTTAATTACTAATTTGCGTGATATAAATTTATATGAACTAATTAATAGTAAAAATAATTACACATAATACTAACTAATTTAATTCAATCAATTATTATGTAATATATTTACATTTTAAATAAAACTTAAGTAATAATTTGATTTTATTAAATTTGATTTTTCTTTAATTTAAATCATTATACTGTATATGTTACACGTACTGTAAATATCAAATTAATTTTTTTTAAATTAAGTAAAATGTTATTATAATAAACAAAGACAGCAAATACTGTAATTAAAAATATAAAAAGATTAAGAAAATATATGATATTTGATATTTGAAAAAATAAAATATTTTGTGAAACAAACAATAATTGTTGCCTTTATAATTTTATACAGTCTTAATATAATTTTATATATTTAATATATGTATTATATAGATACAATAAATTTTATTAGTACTTATTTTAATTAATAATTTAACAGAAATTCAAAAGTAATTACATATTAGTATATTAATTTTGACTATTACCGGTATAGTTATATTGTATATATCATATATTTTTTAATTGATAATTTTTATTAGAAAAAATTATTAAAAATTATTACTAATCTACAAAAATTATTTATAATTGCTAATTCATTTAACAATTCAGAAAATATTATATATATATATATATATATATTTAGATTACATAACTAAATGTGTAATTTTTATTTTGTATTTCATTTAATCAATTTACTTATCTATATATTTACATTATTATTAACTTTTACATTATTACTCTAATTATCAGTGTTTTTCTGTATTGGTATATATTTTAAAGGTAGTGGAAGTGGTCGTGCATTTTGCTGACCATCAAACAGATCGTCATCTGATAATCCTTCAAATGGATCGGCAAATAATGTAAACTTTGTTGAGGCGGCGGCAGCGGCGGCCATACCGTCCCCGTAGTCACCGTATTGATTGTCTTTATGTATAGCGTCCTCATTGTGTGGTATTATATGAACTCTATATACATAATATTTTTTAATAAATAATTCAAATTATAAAATATATATATAATTAAATAACTATAAATAATTTTTATAGAAATACTTAATAAATATTGATAATAAATAATTGTTTTTTTAATAATACAACACTTACGGTATAGCATGTAATGGCAACGGTATGGCAATAGCAACGGGTCGACTGTGTTGACCATACGGGTCATAGTGATTGTGAATCGGGAAGTGATGACTCTGTGGCGGCAACGGCGGCATCGACAGCGGTGAAAATGGACCAAAACTTGGCGGTCCGTGATTATGGCTATGACTGTGACTGTGTCCGTGACCTCCATATGACGGTCCGTTACTTCCATATGACGGTCCGTTACTTCCATATGACGGTCCGTTACTTCCATATGATGGTCCGTTACCTCCATATGCCTGTCCATAGCTCAGTGGGTGTCGCGATGATGAAGCCGGCGATGGCGAAGAAGATGGTCTATACGGTGGAAAACTAAATGACGGCGGGTTTGCAAAGTGCACGTGTGGTTGTGATGCCTGCGGACCGGCCGGCACTGGCACTGCATATGGCATATATATCGGTCCGGAGTCGGGTCGCGGTGTAGTACTAATGCCGAGGTTAGCGCTCATTGACGATGACTTAGTGTTGGGCTGAGAGCCAGCCATTAATGCATCAAAAAAATCGCGAACCGATCGGCGCTTATCTATGTCGCCGTCACCTGACATGTGCTGGTGACCAGTGTTACCGATACCGCCGCCGAAGCTATTACTGGAGCTAATATTAGCCTTACATTTAGCAACAATTGTGATGAAAAATATTAAATACAAACAAAAAGTCTCATTTGATTTAAACATATTTCAATAATAGTTGAGTATTAGTATGAGTGTTGACTTTTATTTTGTAATTTATAAAACTTTTTAAAACATTCAAAAATATTTTAACAGATATATCAATTGATTTAAACACGAAATCAGTCTTTAAATAATGATAATAATTTTTACGATTAAATTATATAAAGTAGTTGTTTTACTACTACTACTTAAAAAAGTTTTGATTTGCAATTTAATTTATTTTATAAAATTCAGTGATCGGTACCGATAGCTAATCTGTATTATAGCTATTATCATACTGTGTATTGACAGTAGACCCTAATGTGACGATCAGGTATTATGTGAATATATCTATTGTAATAATGTTATTATTATTATTATTATTTGAGAAAGAAAGAGAGAAAGAAAGAAAGAGAGAGAGAGAGAGAGAGAGAGAGAGAGAGAGAGAGAGAGAGAGCTCTACTAATAATAATACTAATAATGAAGTTCAGAGACACCGTTACCAGAGACCAGTCAACTATAGTCACAGACAACTTATTATGTAATACCACATAATAGCAATAACAGTGTGTTTTTAACTTTGTATGTTTGTTTGACAACCAAAAAAATATGTATTGAATAAAAAAATTTTGCATTTTCTTATACTCACAATATATTGATATAACAATGATTTTGATTTTATGGGCATTGAATGCAAACAATAATTGTAAAAATCATAATAATAATAACAATAATTGAAAAATAACAATAGTAAAAATAGTAGTAGTAATAAAAATACTAAATAAAATAATAAGATGAGTTTTATAGCTATTAAACATAAGTGATTAATATAAAAAATTAGATCTCTATATATGTGAAATTTGGGTCATTAATGTTGTTAGGGGTTAGTCATCAATAGATTATTTTAAAGAGAAAAAATTATTTAAAATAACACATAATCAATGTATGTTTTTATTTTTAGATCAATAATCAAAAAACCACTTTTTTAATAAAAAAAGTGACTAAATTTACCTTAAAATAACTATTATGTTGTTATTATTAAGTAATGATTGAGACAAAAAATAACATACATTTGATGGGTTCTCATACAACGTTAAACTCAATTTTTATTTGATTTTATTTTTAAAAACCCAATATTAACTTTACCTTAATTACATTTATTGAAAATAAGATTATTTTTTCTAAAAAGCATCAAAACAGTGAAAAAACAAAATAATTACAGTAAATAATTTTTAACTAATACTATCATTATTTTTAATTATGATTATAAATTATTACTATAATTGTACTGTAAGTAATATACTGTATATAATCGGTAACAATAAAATTATTTAAATAATATAGTAAACATTTTTTATAAAAAAAGGTTAAATGATTAGCAGTAAAATAATATAATAGTATGTATATTTTTGTAACAATATTTTATTTAATAATATTTAATTTTAAATAAGTGATTATATTTTTAATGCATTAAATAGTGATTATTAAATTAAATATATAAACTATAATAACAATTATGTACATATTTTTGAAGCTCATGTTTTATAATCTAATATATCAATTATTAATCAATATATTTATTAAAATACTTAATTAATTCATTTTGCATTTTGTATTAATAACTATAGACATCATCTATCAATTGACTATATTTTGTAATATTTTTAAGTGCCGTTTGATTTTCAGTTCCGTTCAAATTGAAGCCATAGTTTTTGTTGCGACACTTTGGATGACTGGGCGGGTATTTCAGTGAAAATATATTGACATCTAATGCTGTTTTCATATCTAAACTCGACATAACAAAGTAGAGACTATAATCTAACAGTTCATATACTAGTGCTGTCCATAATATAAAATTATAAGAAACCAGTTGACTGTAGGCATTAATTATAACAATGATGGGTGCGATGACACTGCTGTCCACTTTAGGCATTACTCCATGTGTTACATTCATCATCTGTTTAATATTTTTTTAAAAAACAGTTATCAAGTATAACAAATGTTAGCTATTTATAAATATAATAAACAATTCATTAGTTGTTATTACCTGTAATTTAAACGACAATTTAGCAAATGCCAGACCAAAGCATGTAATAAATAAAATGGGATTTTCGTGAAACACTTGTCTCTCAAATGCCATAATCGCCGATACAGTCAATATCAGCAACGATACTGACGGGTTGTGTCGACTTAGATTGTATTTCCGTGGAATCCTAACATATCTGTCCATTGGTGAGTCAGCACCTAATATGAGTCTCAAGTTGTTGACAATGGATGAGCTGATGGCCAGAATTGTTAGCAACCATAACACATGTTTTAGTGTTATATTACCAAATAGTGTCCATTCAAACATTTGTTGGCCGTAAATATAGGTAAGTGTGTGAACAGCTATCATAGCCCACTGGCCTTCAATGACATCTATTCTGTTTAATATAAATTTATTATTATATTACCAGTAATTAAAAAAAAAACTATAAATCTATTTGCATTCAATACATACTTTCCAAACACCATAACTCTTGTAATATGACAGCAATAGTGTGTCATATAAAAAGCAATTAACGGTATAATAAAAAAGATAAATTGCAAACCAGGAGTTGTGCCCAACTGTGAGGCAACTGTTATCGCTTGTGTGACCATAACAGCTGAAACTGCATCACATCCGTGATCGTACACCTCTTCAATAGGTGTGTCCTGGACTTTGACGGCCTGTTTGCCGTCCAGTGCGTCAAACAATTGGTATATGAATAGACCAAAAGCGCACATTAGGAATGCCCAGTTTGGCACCTGGAGGTCAATTAAAATAAAATAATATTAACTCATCATATTTTCTTCTATAACTCAAAATTTGTTAAATAACTTATATAAATATTATATTTAATTTACAGAAAAAAAAATCTTACAATTTGTTTAGCATCGGGTGAATAATAAAATAATATGGCACTGGTTATTACATTTATGGCCAAACCAGCGCATGTAATTGAGCATGGTGCTATATTTTTTGGTACATATTGAGATATCTTATACCAAAATCTACATAAAAATAATATTTATTATTAATTTTTAATAAAAGTAATTTGAAATAAAAAAATTGCTATTATTTTACTAATAATTAATTAATAAAGAATTACTGATATTTAAATACTAGTCAATAAAATAGTTGTTTTAATTGTTTAATAAATAAATAAATAAATGTAATTAAATTATTATTAATTGTCTTACTTTTGAAGAAATAAATTTTCCAAAACAGAGTCCACATAACAGTTATACAAATAAGGTTTGTGTCGCAAAAAATACATTTGCCTTTCATTTAAAACATATCCACTTTTGCTTAATTGTTCACTAATTAGACACCCATTGGTCATCAAATCATTATTATTGTCGACAACTTTATTATTGGTGACCAAAGTTGTCGGACAATGTTTATACTGAATAGTTTTGGTAACCATTTGTTTTTTTTGCTAATTAAAACAATTAATACTTAAAAAAATATTAAAACTATTACTATTATAATTATTATTGTTATTACTATATAATTATTGTTGAATAACTAACACTATAAAAATTCTTTGATTTTTTAAATAAATCAAAACAAATCAAAATTACAAAATTTCAACACATTTTATACTCTTTGTTGTTATTATGATATTATTATTATTATTATTATAAACTAAAGTGAAATACAGTGTAAAATTTAATATATAGAATAAATTTAGTTTAAACAAAATTTATCATTATATTTATATTTATATTTATTATTATTTTATACTGTATTTACTTAAATAATTATAAGGAATATTGTACTTTGGTAAAGTTTCATAGAAAATTTGATTATAATATTTATTGTTTATTAGAATTTATAGTAAATAACAGTAAATAATATATAATATTACCATAACAACCTAAGAAAATTGTACTTGTACATTAGTAACGCGTGCCAATGAATTTAATGTAACTTTAATTTGAAATTATCATATTTTTTGTTGTTGTTTGTAATGATATCTAAAATGTTAATCTTGTTAGCCGTTTATTATTATTAATATTAAATACACTATAAGTCATCATCAATTAAACGTAATATTGAACTGAGAAATAAATTTTCCATAACTTTCTGTAAAACCCATGTTTACAGTGTATTACTGATTAGAAATACTAATAGTTTTATTAGTTATAGTTATTTAATGCTAAACTTTAAGTAAATGAGAATTTTTTTTTAATTATTAAATATAGACTAATTTTTGAGTTCACGATATGATATGTGATATATTAAATGATATTATATTTTAATATTTGTTATTATTTTTGTGAAATATTTTCTAATATATAATAATATTATTATTATAAATAAAAATAACAAAATTAATATTTTCAAAAATTTGTCTACAACAATGTCTGGAAACTATTGCAAATTAATTTTGTAATTAAAAATATCAGCATATAATATATAATAATTATTATCATATTTTTTTTAATTTAAATAAAATTTATTAAAATAAAAATTTATATATATTTTATTGATAAGCAAGTCATAACTATTACATTTGGAATTGTTTCAAATATTTATTTTACAAATAAATTGAAATATTTGTTATTTTTTATTTAGTTGTTTATGAAAATAACTTTTTCATTTTGCAATAATAAACCAGTTAAGAATGCTAGAAAGCATTTTCAGAAAAAAAACTTGAATAGCATTGAAAACCATTAGTTTGTATAATTATAGCGGCTATATAGTAACATTAAAATTTAAAAACTGGTCAAATATACATAACATAAATATTGTCATGTATGGTATCAAATGACTCAATATGACAAAATAAACAACTTTAGTCATGTAGAGTATCAATTGACTCGGTATCACAAAATAAACTTAACTATAGTCATGTGGGGTATCAAATTACTCGGTATGACAAACTAATCATCTATAATTATACTTTTGCCGCCATTTAAAAAAAAATATGATGATATATTATATCATATTTTTGATGCTCTTCACAATTCTAAACGTTAAAATTTTTACCTAATTTTTTTTACTTTGGCCGCCATTTTCTTTATTTTCCCGAAGAGTTATCAAAATTTTAATGCATATTTTTTATGCTTGTTTTTGATGCTTTATTCAAATCTATACTTAAAAAAAGTCTTAAATTTTCTTTACTTTGGCCGCCATTTTCTCTATGTTACCGAAGAGATATCGAAATTTTAATGCCACTTTTCAATACATTATTAGTAGTCCTCTAACCGAATCTGAAGTCAGAATTTCAAAATTCGCAAAATGAAATGCTACACACACACACACAGACACACAAAAAAGACTCGTATAGATTTCAGAAAACAACTTTTTCAAAGTTTTTTTTGAAAATAATTCAAATCACATGAAAAGTTTTTAATATCTTTTTTATTTATTGAATATTTTGCTGTTTGCTATTACAGTATTTCCTATTTACAAATTGACATTTTAAAGACATTTGATAAATAATATGCATTAAATGATACACAGGTACTTACATTATATAATTTTTATATGATATATATATATATAATACGATAAACATATTTAATACTATACCGGTAGTACTCAATGATAAAATAAGTTTTCTGTTTAATGTAAAAATAAAAATAATGACATTTAATTTTTGTTATTTTAATAAACAGACTATTATTTAAAAATTATTTTTAGACATAATAAAATAATTTTTTATCTTATTATCACTTATTATCATATATTTAATATTATATAATATAAAAAATTAATATCTATTATTGTATAATTAATTAATTAATTTGTAGCTATAATTTTATTAATCCAACTTAAATAACACGATATCTTAGTAAAAACAATTGGATAGGTATCTGATAATACAAAAAAAAGATATTTTTAAAATTAATAATCATTAAAAAGTTAAAAAACATAATATAACATTGATAAAGTACCTAAACATTTAACACCATACGATACTAAGCCTATTAGCACTGGTTTACCTGGATGAAAGTTAATTATGATACTATTAATTGTGTTTAATTGATAATCTAGATTAATTTAAACTGATTTTTTAATAATAACAAAAATACCTTGTCTATACTCAATAGCTGGTCCACCTGAGTTACCCTGATAATTTCAATAACAAAACAAATATATATTAATATTTTACTATACAGTATATTAGTATTGATATTAATATAATTGTACCAAGCAAATATTTTGATTGAAATTCCACGAACAAAACTGGGAATTATAGAGTCTATGTCCGGTTACACCTATTTCCCCGTATTTGTTGGCGCACTCTATCATTGATATTCTGGTCAACCAATACTCGGCGGCCAATTCAAGCGTAAGGTTCGAGTTATACGATACTCGGCCCCAACCGGCAGTAATCAATAGCTCACTCCTGGGCTCTTCAAACTCAATTGACGGAAATTCAATTGACTGTGTGTCTGCACCCATATCTATCTGGCCATTGATTTTGAGAAGCGCTATGTCCGACTGTTTATCACCCGTATAGTTAAACTGGTTATGTGCTACTACTTTAACAATATGATACTCGTTGCCATCCAATCGGCTTAACGAACCGCTCCGTATGGTATAGTTTTTAGGTGTGGCCTCACTGACAAATAATAATAATAATAATATATTAAAAATTAGATAACTGAGCAAAATACCAACAACAAAACAATGATGATTGTGATAAAAAGCACTTACACAAAACAACATGCTGCACTAACTATCCAATGTTTATTCACTATACTACCGGTGCAATGTTGTCTACCGTTTTTAAGTATGACTACCAACCAGGGATGTACACCCTCTTTGACCTCCTTTTTTACAGCTAGTCTTTCACAATTTTGTTACAATCATTTGATTAGAGAAAATATTGATTATAAATAAATAATATTTAATTAAATAATAATAATAATTACCCTGGGTAATTGTCAAATTTCCTTGTCTATAGTTTGGATTCACTATTTTCTCACAATTATTGCAAATGTGATCATCAGTTTTCTAAAAAAAGTTATTATATTTAAATGTATTAAATATAAAAATATACTAAATATTATTTTAACATATTATTTAGTTTTTTTTAAATAACTTGCTTCAATATTTATTGTTAATTTATTTTGAATATTATCTGATAATGTGCTTTCATTCATAGTCTTATTAATCCAATCGATAAAATATGATATTTTGCTAAAAACCACGGGATAGCCATCTAAAAAATTAGTTAATTATATTATAATTGATTATTGCTAGTAATTATATTTTTAAATAATACTGTTTAAAATAATCAAAAGTGTAGATTAGTTAGAGACTCAGTAAACATAAAAATAAACTCTATTTAATAATAGTATCTAATCTAATATAAAGTTAATTAATTTTTAATTAATTATAAAAACTAACCACTACATTGAACTCCATAGGACACTGTACCAATTAATACAGGTTCATCTATAATAGTTGACACAACAAAATAAAACTATTAGTGTAGTAAAAATTTAATAAAAATTGATATTTATGATTTACTATCTATATATTGAATAGCTGGTCCACCTGAGTAACCCTTTAAATTAGAAATAGTTATAATTTAATTAATTAATTAAAATAAAATTATAATATATATATATATATAATTGATTTACTTCGCAAACTGTTTGTTGATGATTCCAAGTGCATAACTGTGACCTAAATATCCAATGGACTACACCATCGACTCTATTGTAGGCATTAGCGCACACATGACTGGGTATTATAGAAAGCCTAAACTGTTTCTTAAGATCGACAGTATTGGACATATTAAACGCTGTTTTACCCCAACCGGCAACAATCAGATAATTATTTGACGGCTTCGGCTCATCCATCATTGTTGTTGGCAACACAATAGGCCTGACAGTGGGTCCCATATCGATGGTTCCGACAATTTTTATCAGCGCAATATCCGAGCTCTTGTGGCCGCAAGCGTCAAATCTCGGGTGTGTCACCACTTCGGACACCTGATAGTCGTTTCCGTCCAGACGTGTTACCGAACCGGCACGTATGCGAAACAATTGTATATTTTTATTATTACTATAAATATATATATATATTAGTATTAAATATTATACATTTTTATATATTGTAATTATTTAATGTTTTTATCTGATGACAACAATATTATATTTGAATTACTTGAAACAATGTGCAGCAGTGATCACCCAGTTAGCATCAATTATACTACCGGTGCAATGATGTTTGTTATTTTTGAGTACAACTACTATCCACGGATGCCAACCGTCCATTACATTATCAATAATAGCTATTATATATTAATTAATACATTGATTCTAATTATTTATCTCTTAATAATTATATATTTTCTTTTTTGAAAAATATTTTAAATACATTACAATGTGTTATCGTTTCATTCAAATAGTTATGGGTTGTTGGCATAACCCGTTCCTCCAGATAGTGGCTTATATTCAGAACTGTTGTATTAATATTATTATAATTAGTCTATATTGAAATAATTACAATTTATAAAAAAACAAAAAAAAAATACAAAATTAAAATGTTTATAATAAATTACTTACACCAATTACATTTGTTTGTGTTGTTAGTAATAGTAAATCTATTAATACTAATTAAAAAAAAATATTGACATTAATATTAGATTATATTTTCAATTTTTTATGTTGTATTTGCAAGCATTTATATTAAACATTAAAAAACAGTATTTACCTATTATTGTTATTACAAAATAAATGTATTGATATAAATATTTCATATTTTAAATAAATTTATTCATATAATATAAAAAAAGTATAAATGAAATACAATATTGCTACAAAAACAAATAATTAATTATATATTTATAGCAAAAATAATAATTTTTCACTTTAATAAAATAAATTACAATATGTTTAATTAAGTTTTGAAAAAAATATAGTTTTTAATCATTTTTTCATAAATTACGAAAAATTTTATTTAAAAATTAAACATGATTAATTTATTACCTATTATTAATAAAATATTAATATTTTTTTATCAATAAAAGCAAATTTATTTAGCAGACAGTTTAATAGTTTCAAACATTTTCATAAATAATTATATATCACATTTATTAGTAGTATTATTATTATTATTATTAGATTTTAATTCATTGTTATTTTGTTCATTAATATTAGTTTCAATATCTATATCATCGTAAAAATTACTAAAAACTGGTTCATCATATTGATTTTCACTATAAGTACCTTGATCACGTCTATCCATAGTATAACTATTTTCACTATAATCTCCTAAAATACCTAAATAATATTTAGCCCCAGAATCAACATCAACATCATTAACATTAATTTGTTTATTATTATTGCCATATGTTATAACACAATGGAATTTACTTTTGCATATAACTGTCCAAACAATAACAATCATCACTAATGTTACGGCAATTACTATACTGGTTATGACCAGCGGTTGCAAAACGATACCCATTTCACGATTGACTTTTTCATCTATTGTAACATTAGTTTTATTGTTTTGGTCATCAGTTTTGTTAGTGTCGAAAATAATATTATAGCCATAATTATAATAATTCATATGATTGCATACATTTTTAGCTGTATCTGAAGTATCAAAATTATTATTATTATTATTATTATTATTGATTTTATAGTCTAAATAATCAGAAATATTACTAAAAGTTCTAATGTAGTCAATAGAAAATGTTGAACACTTTCTACTAAGTTTCATATTAGTACCATGCTCATTTTGATCTATACTATGTATATCTTCATCAACAATAAGTCCTATTCCCAATTGATATTTGCACTTGGTCAATTGATCTAGTTTTTTTGTTTCCTCCTTATTAAACATAAATCTATAGTATTGTGTTTCATAGATGATTGTATGTATATTAAAATTGGCCAAATTTGCCATGTTCAAATTTTGTGTGACGCATTTCATAGTCGGATGACCTACTGCTAGATGTTTGTAACAAATTTGGTTATGAAAGTGTTGTATTGAAATATATGATGTTATGTTGTTTTGACAAAACATTTTCAAATAAAATAATGATTTTAAATAATTGCCGTCAGGTATGGCCAGTCGGGTCTCAATAATATCTGAACTTAAATAATCTTTCGATACAATCAAAGCACTCGTATAGTCGTTTGCCGACATTTCCACTGCAGTCAGTGCCAGCTTTCCATAGAATAGTTGTATGTTTTTATCACTTTCATTGAAAACACTGGTTTGACCGGAAAATAGACCTAAAAAATTATTATAATTAATTTGATAGTAAATTGATTAAAATAATTATTTTTATTTTTAAAAAACGTAATTATAATTAATATACAATTTAAAACTGACCTAGATGATTATAATTGCCAACCCATATTTCCCATTTGTTTTTATCGAGATATTTTCCATCAAATTCATCGCTATATGATATTAAATAGTTTACTTTAATACTGATTATAACAAATATAATTAAAATTAACTTTTTAGCAAACATTGTCAAACTATTGTTATCAGAGTATTAAATTATTAAGTAATTAATAAATGAATTTATATATAGAAATTATTTATATAAAAAATATTTAAAAAACCATTTATAGATATTTGTATTAATCATACATTCAATTTATTATAGAGTTATAGAGTTATAGACTATAAATTATGTATTACCTTCCTTATTAAGCTATTTTTATATTACAAAATAATTGTGTAAATACAAAATATTTAATGATTTTGTTTGTAGATATTTTTGATGACAAAATAATAAAACTTGATAACTAAAATAAATAAAAAAATAACTAGAAATTTCTAATAAATTTCTGTGAGAGAATTACTAGTAATTTTCACTAGATTTTTACATAATTTTTAGATTTAAAGATCCCCATATCTATAGCTATAGTAATACATATATTACTAAATACATAATAGTTTTGTATAGTAATTATAATTTTTTATGTAAATTTATATAAGAAATTACTAAACAATATTAAAGTACATTAAATTACATTTTAAAGTCCATATATTAACTATTTATTTTTATGCAATATAATAATACTATTTATTTAATATTTAATTTCATTTGTATCTTCAAAATATTATTTGTTCATTATATCTAATATAAAATTTAATTATAGATTTTATAATAATTAATTATTTTATAATACTAGAAATTTATTTTTAATGTTTTTATCTTAATTGTATTTAATAAAACATATAAAAAATAAAATACAGATCATTAATTACTACAGTAATACATAATTATTCAATTATTATAATTTTAATAAATAATGAAATAAATTTTATATATTCTATTAAAAGTATTGAATGTTATATAAAAAACAAATTATTGAGATTTTAATGAATTATTATTATTATTGTAATTGTTTGAAACCATTGTAATATAATTTAATTGATTATTATAATCACTGACATTATACTGGACAACAATATCATCATATTGTTGTTGTAGTACAGGTTCATCATATTGATTTTCTGAATGATCCATTGATAATTGACTTGATGATTTTTGATAATAGAATCTATCAACATTTAGAAATTTATTATCAAAATAAGCTTGATGATTTTGTTGTTCATCATGTTGTTGATTGCTAATTGTTATCATACAATTGAATCGCATTTTGTATAACAATAATAATAGCAATGCTATTGTCAATGTTATTGCAATTGCTATAACTGTAATTACTAAAATTTGTCTTGATGACTTATCTAGTAAACTGTCATTAACAGTTATATTTGTTCTAGTAGAATTATCATTGATAACTATGTTATTGCATAGTTGTCTATCATTGTCTATTGTTTGTTTGTTTGATACTATTTGAATGTAATCGATAATCAATGCTGGTACTTGATAATTGTTATCATTAATAATTAATTTTATTAAATTATCCATGATAGTTTTATTTATATTAGAAATACTTGTGCGGATAATTAGCCGGAATGGCTGACTAAACGGTTCCGATTCCCTATTATAATTGTCGGCCAAAAATTGTTGACATAATTTATATCTACCAACACTGTGGCCATTCATATAGAAACTGATAGCCCCGGGACTCCAACTAAGTTCAAAGTCATGAAAATTGTTGCCAAAATCGGCAGTTTTGTTGACTTCGAGGCCATTAAATCTAAATTCATTTCCCACCCAATAGTGTAATCCTTGATTGAATTTATGCGAACCATTGTCATCGTATAGTAGATCAATGCGTCCATAGATATGACCATGGTTGTTTGTGTTTAGCAAAATAATTTCCGTCACAACACCCGGGTATCGGTGTTGTGGTACACGTAATCTAATTTTCAAATTTCCAAATTTAAACAATTGTTTTGGTGATATTTGTGCCGAGGTAAAATCATTGATATCGCTTTTTACCAATAGTGTCAATGTGTTATTTTCCACTAGGACATTTTTAGATCTATAGTAGATTTCATTGTTTGGATCTACACAGTTATATCATTAAAAAAAATATTTTTTTACAAATATTTCTATTTTTATAATTATTTGTATTTAATTATTAAATATAATTTAGATTAGATTTTATACTTTACCAATACATGCTTGATCATTTTGACGACAAACAAACCAATTACTATCATTTAATTTATTTGCATTACTAAAGTCATCATGGAAGATTATATCATTATCTTTACAATTGTGATGGATGATAAACAACGTAAACATAATTGATATTGTTAATTTATTAGTTAGAGATCGATTACTATAAGACATTTTTTTAAAAAATTATTAAACTTTAAATTAAGTTAAATATTGATTTATGAAAATGTTTACATTAATATTAATAATATTTGGATATATTTGTTACAATAAAAACACAAAATTAATTATGCTTTAAATAGTTGAAACAAACAATTTATGAGTCATTTTTATTTTATACAGTATTTGTCTATTTTAGTTATTTAGTAATTTCTAATATCTAATATACATTAACTATGTATTTGTATCAAATTATAATATCAAATAACATTTCCTATAAAAATATATTTCATATTATGTCTATATTTAGAAAAATGTATCATAATATATAATACTATACATAATATGTAATGTATGTATAGTATATAAATTAAAACAAAATTTTAAAACAATATATTTAAACTGATAAATAAATCTATAATTTATATTATCAATGTCATATTATGATTAATTTATTAACAACATATTGTGTGACTTGTTTATAGGCAATGTTTAGTTTAATATTTTTGATAATATCAATAACACTTAATGTTTTATATTTATGTAAATGTCAATCAAATATAATTCAATGGAGAGATGAGTTTGAATGTTCAACACTTAACACAAGCAAATGGGAGATACGTGTCGGCAATTTTATAGGTAATTATACTCACTATCTATTAAAAGAAACTATTAATTAAAAAAAAATTTATTTTATTATTTACAAACAGATATATTTAGTAATAAAATCAATTATAATATTAATTACGATAGATTAGTTAATATCTCATCGGGAAAGTTATCACTGAATGTCAAACAACTATTGAATGATAACTATACAGGTGTTGCACTTTTATCGCGTGAATCGTTCAAATCGGGAACACTGGTCACTGGTATAGCCATACCTGACAATCCGGTATTGGTGTCAATAATTTATCTAAATATTACCAACGATGGCGGCCATCAGTATGACTATGTATTGAGTGAACATGAAAATAGACGACTCAGTAGTAATTTGCTAAAACTGGTGACAAATGAACCAAATTTGATGACAGCATCAGGAAAAGGGTTTTTGAATTTAACCAAAATGGACATGGACAAATTACAAATACACAAAATCAAAATCGCAACAAATGGTTATTTTAATTTCACATTCAATCGAATACTATTTAGTAAAATTGTTAACAAAAATTACATGGATTCAAAATTATTGAAATTTAGAATTGGCCTGGCACTATTTGTTAACAAGTCGAAATTGCCATCAAAATTTAATAATACAATTATACAGAACTTGACCAATGTCAATTTTAATCAAACAATTGATTATGTTAGATTATATAGTGTAGATCCTAAATTTATTGATGATAAAATTGGTCATGATACAAATTTATCAAATTGTATATCACTATTAGACAATAATCGTATAGTTATAATAAATACAAATACAACTAGATTAATTAAAGGTAAAACATTTGAAGCAAACAATGATAAACTAAATAATAAAAATATTAACAAAACTATTATTGATATACTGTTAGTTAGTTTAATACTTATGATTGTACTGTTGATAGTTATATCGATTTATACAATATTTAATCAAAAAATTATTAATCGTCGGGTAGTAATCAATGAATTAACAACAATTAATAAAAACGAAAAAAACTAATCTAATAATTTTAAATTTTATCCAATTTATTCAAATTGTTGAATTATATCTTAATTTAATTTGTAAAGCATATATAAAAATATTTTATAAATAAATAATTATTAATTTAATGTCTTATTTTTATAAATATAATATTTTCAAAATGAATTAAAATGAATTAAAACATAAAAAGCCTAATAAATTAATACTTATTATTTAAAATTGATATGTATTTATTATATTATACAATTACAATTATTAAAAAATATGTTAATATAATAAAATTAACGTAATCTATAATATACTGTAGATTTCATAATATAATTTTTTGTTTGAAAAAAATCAGTTTTGTAAACAATTGAATAAAATATTACTTAATTTGTATATAAATTATGTGTCATTAAATATGCAATAAAAATAGAATAAAATTAGTTAAGTTTTATTGATTACTAAATATAAATATTTTATAAATAAAAATCATACAATATTTTTATTTAATGTAATTTTAGTAATTATATTTAATATATGTAATATAAATATGCAAATTATAATTTTTTTGCAATAAACATATCCTTATACAATGTTAACAAAAATAATTAATATATCTTTATTTAGATACTAATTATATTAAATGTCATTTATTGTGTAATACTAAAAGCAATATTGTAGTTACAATTAAAATGTAATAATCTAAGCTTATTAATATACAGTATTTAATTAATACAAATAATATATATATATATATATATATATATAATTATTATAATTTATTTCATGAGAATTTTATTATTGGTTATAAATTACTAAATCCGTTAAAAATCAGCAAAAATCAATTAAATCAATAATGTATAATATATTAGTTTATTTTATATTATTTAACTTAAATTTATATGAATTCAAACGTGAAATCAAATGGAGTGATGAGTTTGATTGTCAAACATTGAATACAACTAAATGGGAAATACGTGTTGGCAATTTTAAGGGTAATAATTTATTTTAAAAATAATAATTTAATAAAATAACTCAAATATTTTGTTTATTAATTAAATTTATTTTTTAGAAATTGAAGACCTGTTTGAAGATCGTGTTAGTTATGACACAAATTTTACTGAAAATGTTAAACTTTCTGACGGAAAGTTATCGCTGAAAGTAATCCGACAATCAATTGGCAATTATACCGGAGTGGCAATCATATCGCGTGAATCGTTTAAATGGGGAACAGTTGTGGCACTGATGGCAATACCTAAATCATCGACACTGACATCAATTTTATTTTTAAATGTCTCTATTAATAATCAACATAATAAATATGTTTACAATATTTTTGAATCTAAAAAATCGTTTACAGGTATTTATCCAAATTATGATAAACATAAAAATACATTTAAATATGAAAATTTCGACGATATTAATGTTCACATTATTCAGGCTAATGAAAAGTTTTTTAAGTTTATGTTAAATAACAAAACTATTGGTAAAATAGATGATATTTATAGTAACAAAATTACATTTAAAATTGGTATCATTTTGATTGTTAATGCATATAATAACAAATTAATTGATGACAATTTGAATTTACGGTCTAATAATTTATTAACTATTGATTATTTTAGATATTATAAATCATTTCCTAAATATATTTTAAGTGCTAAAGATTATGCTGCAAATGAAACTGTGCCTGGTCAACAGTGTCAAACATTTGATACAATTGACCATGATAAATTAAATGATAAACTGCCATTAGATACAAATTCAACCAAATGGTCACTTGAAACAACCCGTACCCATAGTCATGATATTATGTTAGATAATGATAAGCTGTCAGCTAATAGTGTTAAAAGTATTTTTGGTCGCATTTTGTTCATTGCATTGATGTTTATGATTGGACTGACATTTATGGTATTTATTTATACAATACTTAATAAAAGACTTTATACTAATTCAACTGACAAAAGTAAAATTAAATTTAGGAAAAATATAAATAATAATAATATTAACGATAATAATAATAATAATAATAATAATAATAATAATAATAATAATAATAATATTAACGATAATAATAATAATAATAATAATAATAATAGAGATTATTTGAAAGAAAATTCAATTTATTTAACAAACTAAATATTTTATTAATTATTTCGTATTAATTGTATTTTAATATTATTTAAAATTGTTTTTTAATTATTTTAATTTTAATATATTAATGTTATATATTGTTAAATTTTATAATTTTTAAATTATCATATTGTAATAACATTTTATTATTTATTTAAAATTTAGTTAAATTTGTTGTAAAATAAAAAATATGAATTAAGTTTATAATATACTAAAAAATATTTATAAATAAAATATTATTTGTAAATGTTGATTTTATTAAGCATAAAAGTCACAATTAAATGTTTTTTATCAAATTGATTTTCAACATATTTTATATCATAGTCTATGATTCATAGATAACCAAAAAATAAATATGTTAATATTAATAGTGTATTTAAACTACTTTTATATATTGTTATTGCTTTATTTGGACATACATTTTATGTGCCAATATTTATACAATATTATAAAACAATTCATTAGTTATACACAATGTGAAGTGTGTTTAAAAAGGTTATAATTTAAGCTAATGTATATATACAGTATATTAATTATAACAATTATAAAATAATTATAATATTATAATTTATTACATAATAATTTTATTATTAATTATAATTAAATAGTCTTGTTTAAATCAACAATGTATATCATATTTATTTATTTGATATTAATTAATTTGAATTTATATGAATCCAAACCTGAAATCAAATGGAGTGATGAATTTGATTGTCAAACATTGAATACAACTAAATGGGATATACGTGTTGGCAATTTTAAGGGTAATATTTTTATTTAATATTTTAAAAAATTATTTTGATTTTATTTTAGATGCTGAAGATCTGTTTAAAGATATGATTAGTTATGACACAAATTTTAGTGAAAATGTTAAGCTCTTTGAGGGAAAGTTATCGCTGAAAGCAATTCGACAATCAATTGGTAATTATACCGGAGTGGCAATCATATCGCGTGAATCGTTTAATTGTGGGACAGTTGTGGCACTGATGGCAATACCTAATTCATTAATACTTAAATCTATTCTATTTATAAATGTCTCTATCAATGATGAGAATCATAAATTTGTTTACAATGAGTTTCAATCTAAGCAATCGGTTACAGGTATATATCAAACAAAATATAGAGACTATACAACAGTTACCTATGAAAACATGGATAATACTAATGTACACATTATACAGGTTGATGAAAATTTTTTCAAGTTTATGTTAAATAATTATGA